TTTCTTCAATTTTCCTGGCCCGAACTAATAGATGAACATAGGCTCATGCAATGATATTGGAAGGTATATTCCAATGGAGTAAGCGAAAGATGTTCACCAGTGACTGTTTGGAAGACGTAGTTGCAACTAGTGGGGTTCATCAGGTCAAGGTGTGAAGTACTCGCCAACATTGGATTCCATACCAGTGGCTGAGTGCTCAACGAGTTTGACTTCGCCACCTGACGGTCTTGGGTTCGATCTCTAGTAGTGGGTTCGCTGGTGCGTACTACTGAAGAGTCCCAAACTAGGATAAAACAGCTATACGGTACTCCAGGGTTCTCCGAGTTCTGCAGATCTATGATCAGACTTGAATTAATTATGCACTTTCAAAAAATAATAGTAATAATAATATTCAAAAGCTGTCATGGTTACTGGTACTATGGCAACAGAGGACTAGTAGTGGGTGTCTTTCATACTTGCTATAAAATCTGATTGTTTTTTTATCTGACAAACAGTCTGCTACAATCAGAATTCTGATTGGTAGGTTATCGAGTTCGATTGTAGCTGAATAGATAAGATATGTACCTTGAAAAAACAACCACTGAATGTATTTTAGTAGGACTTAAGCACGAATGTGGTCATTAATGCAAAAAATAAAGATTAATACGGGGTAGTTTTCAGGGTAAGTAATGTAGAATATAATATTTAGTCACGTCTACTTCGTTGTAAAAGGCAGGAGCCTAGTGATGAAATTGGATGAATATGGTGGTGTCATAAAGCAAATTGACAAGAGTTTGAGGTTAGTAGATCTCGGCCACTAGGCTAAATGGTACAGTGCTTGTCTCTAAAGGTCATAGGATCATAGTAAAATATTTCGAAAATGCCACAAACAGAGAGGAAATGGCTAATCATTATCGAGCCTGGGTTAATTCTGACAACTCTTTGAACTGATGTTGACTCGTGATGAAGTCATCTTTTACTCAGAAGGCTTGCGGTTATCGTGGTCACATCATTCCCAAAGGTTATCCTAGTATTTCATTCCTTTTCAGTGTTATTAATTGACGATGTGGTTTCAATGATGATCTGAAGTTGTCAGTTTCTGCAAGACTTTCTGTGAGAGATTATAACAGCTTAGATGAATAGAACTGAGTAGAATGTTTGTTCGCAGTAGTTACAATTGAAGCTATATGATACTGAATACTCAATTTTTAGGCTTTATGGTAGATAGAATTCATTAGGTGTTCATTTCGAGTTTCAGTCACTTCAAAGCATGTCAGATGGTATATGTTGAAAGCTTTGCATTTGAAAATGATGCCTGAATATTGTCAGAATGATTATGTAATTACATCATTTCTCATCAATGAAATCTAAGTATTATTCATCACTTTCTTAAACGTTTCTGTTCCAATTCCAGTCCCGTAATGTACTGGATGCAACTAAGTTTAACATTTTACAGGTGCTAGTTTGCAGGAATTTGATTGTTTTCAAGTCTGTTTACAAACTGATATCGGCCAGAAAACCAGGGTGTACTAGACAGCTGTTTCGTACCATTTTGAGAATCTTCAGTAGTAAGAAGCCTACCCTCCCATCGCCAAGGATCGACTCTTCAGGTTACACGGTGAGGTCATCGGTCACTCAGCCATTCGAAAAGAATTCAGTGACGGCTGATCAATTATAACTTCTGTCGCTTTGCGATTTTAGTATCTCAATCACAAGCCTTTGTCACTGGCGAGTATTTATCCTTACAGCTAACCGGGTGGATCCCACTGGTCACTACTTCTCACTAGAACTTTGGTCAACTTTGTCCTATAGTGAGTCACTAGGGTGCACTAGATTAATCTTCAAGTGTTAGTTTGTCTGTATTTAATTTGCTTCCAGTTTGATCATGTAGTGATGTCAGTGAGTTGTTTTAGCGAAACAACATTTGATTGTGATTATTAGATGATATTATAGCCTTGGTGAAGAATACACATTTTTTATGCCTGTTAGCTGAAGTGGTGGATACTATGAATGACATTTAGTTAATGCGTTGGATCCGTGTTGAAAAAATATAGTCCCACAAAGATTTATTTATAGTAAACTCTCTGATTTCTCTGATTAAAGACGTATTCAAATTTTCAAGCGTACAGGAATTTTGCTGAAGAGCAAGCACATACAAGAAGCCTAAGTCAATCAAAGACTCCTGGGCTTAGATATCTTGCGTAGAGATTTGTCTACTAAAGTGCAGCCTAATGATTCGTAACTGACCTGATACAGTCTTGGTCCATAGCTCTGGTGGCTGGTTAGCCTAATGGATCGATAACTCTTTGTAGTTTGAAATGATGAATCCTGAGATATAGTCTTGGCAAGAACATTACCCAATGAGATACAGGTACACTCGCCTGATGAGTCTTAAATAGGACGAAATGCCAGTTCTAGATTCCACTATGAGATACCAAAAACTATGTTACACTATTTTAACCTTATGAGATCATCGAAGCATTCATGTTATGAGCCAACATACCAACAGAGACTGTACATTTCGTTCCACTAAAATAAATCTAAATAATTCCAGTGATGCTACTTTATACCCTCTCATCAATCATCTGTGTGTCCATACATGATATCGTCGGGATTCTAATCAGAACGTAAATTGTATATAATAGAACATAGATCGAACTGGTAGGCGAATTGTAGTTAATTACTACCTGACATTTATTATTGGATGTAAAATTAATGAAAACACCTGAAACTATCCCCTCGTAGCATTACTAATGAGTGAACTTACTTTGAAATTTCAATAATCACTTCACCCCTAGCGTTGATGGCTCAGTATTAGAATGTTCACGTAGTCCAGCGTCCTATTCCCTGGCGATGAACTTCAAAATGTCACAAAGTTTCCTAGCTGATAGTAAGCCTGCAAAAGAAGAAAGGTGGGGCGTTAGGCTATCACAGTATGTGATTTACTTGATACCATAATTGTTAATCAAGAAAGCAAGAATCATTGTATAAAACTGTATACTACTGATTGACTGAAGTGAGTAGTTATATGCCACTCATACTAACCAGTAGTGTTTGCTAATCAGACCGAAGTGATCTAAACATTGGACGGCCGTTTCCCTCGTTTGGGATCGAGCTTCTCAACACTGATGTACCCAGTTAGACTGTGTCTGTTCAGATAGCCAAATCCCTTTAAACCACCTGAATTCTGCCCCAAAAAGAGCCGAACTACTGTCCAACGTTTAAATCACTTCGATCTGGTAGCAAGCACTAATGGTTGTTGACAGTGGTATCCAACTGTTCACCTCAGTCAGTAATGTATACTTTTATCCAATTTAAGCCATGTATGGGAGAAGACGTCAAGTGTTTGGTTAACATCCTGAGAAGGTAAATACTAAGAAGATGTTACTGTAATTTGGTTTTACTATAATACTTTCTCCAGAATTTAGATCACTTCACTGGGGCCAATTAGTGTTTACATAGTCGACCGAAATGAAGACAATTATGGATTATCAAATGGTCTGTGACTGCAGAATAGGTAAAGTAACAGTCAATCAGTACTTTAGAGCATCATACAAACATTGATCCAAAAGAATTTTTAAAATCAGACCACTTTATCCAGTGATAACAAAGTGTTTAAAAGTATAGGTTTCGATAACAGTAAGAGCAAACAGGAGTGTAAGCAGTAAATCCAAACATTTTCAATAAGATTGGTTGCAGGATTTTATCATCAGCTGACATCGGTTAGAGAACCATTGGAAAACCTGGGAGTAGTGGACAGCCGTTTCGTCCTAATTTGGGACTCTTCACAGTACGCACTCACTCCCAGGGTTCGAACCCAGGACCTTCTGGTTACAAGGTGAGTTCATAGACCATTAAGCCACTGGGACCGGATCCAATGGCCCATGAATTCCAACTTCTGCCAATTCGCCACTTAGCGCGACCGCTAACCAATATCTTCGGAGAGTATTTGTCCTCACACCCGACCTGCTGCACCTAAGTGGTCACGACGTCCCACTAGAACCTCAGGTAACTGCCTACCTAAATAGGGCCACTTATATCAAGAGACCACTTATATCAACCAGTAGTTATTTAAACCCACAGTATGGCCGTTTTGCTTGTTTGGGGATGACTTCACCAGCGGCCGGGTAGTCAGTCGGATTGACTCAGCTCACAGTTCCGAATCAGTTGAAACCACCCAAATTCCTGTCTGCTACTTAGGCGAAGTAATAATCCATTGAATGAAATTCATAGTGACACTGTTTTGTAACAAATTTTCTCTTCGCATGGGTTTCCGTTTTATAACCGGAAGGTCTTGGTTTTGAACCCTAGTGTGTGCGTACTTTCGAAGAGTCCAAAACTAAGATGAAACAGCTGTCCAGTATACCCAGGTCTTCCAATGGTTCTCTAAATGGTATCAACTCGTAATCAAACCTATCAGATAAGAGAATGACGGTTAAGTGAAATGACTTGTAGAAAAGTGAATGTGTTTAGGTCAGTAATGAAATTACTGTAATAAAAGTTTCCAAGTCATCTGAAACACACTGGATTATAAGTGAAGTAGTACTTGGACACATTCATACTAATGCATTTGAATACCCTAGTAACATATTTTAGACCATCAGCATTATTTTCAAGAGTTAGTTATTAGGGATTTGATTTACGTCTAGTTTTATCAAGGACCGGTGTTGGTGGTTGAAGAATTTTCCAGAGGTGTGCACCCATGACCTCACTGCCATGGATGGAACCCAGGATCTTATGGTTACGAGAAGATGATACCGAACATTGAGCCACTTTGGCTGGAATCCATTAACCCATGGATTCTAACTTTTGTCAGTTAGAGGTTTTAGGGCGACCACCAGCCAGTGTCATTGATGAGTATTTGTCCTCACAACCAGGCCGGTGGACCTCTTTGGTCACTGCTTCTCACAAGAAATCTAAGGTACTTCATCCTGTATTATTCCGTACTATCAGAGGCTCATACATTTCTATATATCCTAATGCAACTGATTTCTTCATTTCGTTCCCTGTTTTTTTCACAGTTCCTATTGAAGACGTAAAACTAGTCGATGGGAATCAATTGGCGCATGTATTATTCGACTCAAATGATTTATATCATAGTCTTAAAGTTAAGTCAGTAATCGGTTCACCGTATTTAAATGTTGATGCTGTTGGCTTACCAACAAGTGTTCAGTTTCCAAGTGAACCGATCAGTGGACTATTTTTAACTCCAACATCATTTGAGCAATATAAAGAGTCAACTACACTTGGGGATGGAGATGATTTGATTGATTGTCCATGGAATTTGACAGCATGTGTTTCAGGTAAAAGAAGAAAAAAGTTTATTTTGTATGATATTATTATTGTTATTATTTAATTCAATTTTAGATTTCCCCACCTATTGATTGGACCGAAGTGCTCGGTCTCAGGCTTCTCGTGCAGATGATTCGACGATGTCTGGGCATGTAATTAGAAGTTAATTGGTGGATGGTGACTAGCAGTCAACGGGAAAATCTAAATTGAATTAAATAATTAATATTACCCATTGCACAAGAGGTGGCTCTCGTGGCCCAAGTGGTATAGTAGATAACGCTTTGGCGTTTGAAACTATGGACACTGGGTTCGAGCCTCGGTGGAAAGGATATCACTCAGTGGGGAATGCAGGTACATCCAGATGATGAGTCCGAAATGAGACGAAACGTGCATCCTGGACTCCACTGTTAGTCACCATACACCAATTAACTTCTAATTATTGTTATTGTTCCGTTGTGTTCCGAGTGGAAGATACGGCTTCAACAGTGCATCATCATTCCATTCTATTCTCTGCAATCCTCTTTGGGTGGTTCTAGGATCGCCCATAGGCTATTATCTCTACCAGTGGGAACTCCATTACCACCCGCCAAGAATACAGGTACATCTGGCTGACAAGTCCCAAATAAGCGGAAATATGCATCTTGGATTCCACTGCAAGTCGCCATCAGTCAAAATAACAAAGATGAAATAATGTTTATTCAAATTCTGTTTTATAAGTGAATAACAGTTTTCACAGACAAATATTCAGTGCCCATAAAATCTATATACAATCCTTCCATCAACAACTAACAGCACATATCGTGATCCATAAAGATTCTGTGATCCGTATAGAGTAAAATAAGTCCTCTGACTAGTGAAGAGTTCCGTCGGGTGTAACCTACTTTCTTTGATTGGACACTAGTCAGTGACTAGTGTAGTGTGTGTCTAGTCTTATCTTCGGTTAAGACTCAATGCTATCAGTCAAGTTTGCAATGTGGCCCGCATTCTAAGTGCCTCGCCATCAGGGTGCACTTTGAATTGCTGGTATTAGATGGTTGGAGGCAATCGGCAGGAAGCCTTGGACTTAGATTTCGTGCTAGTTGGCACTCGCTAGTCAACAAGGTGTATCAGCAACCTTGAGGGAACTTATGTCCCTTCTGAGATTCGAACCTGTGTCACCCAGTGCTGCAGTCAGAGCCCGAATGGGTCAGTGGTAATGTCTCAGACTGAAGCACTGTGTGACGCACGTTCGAATCTCAGAAGGGACATGAGTTCCTTCAAGGTTGCAGATATGCCTTCTGACTAGAGAGTGCCAACTATCACGCAACCTAGGTGGAAGGCTTCCTTCTGACTGCCTCCAACCATCTAGTACTTTACTTTCAGATGACCGATAACAAGCACAGAGATTATGTCTTGATCATCTTGTCGATCACTTCATAATAACAAACGGCAGGAATAACTCAGATACAATTCGAATTTATAATAAATACATGAATATCTCAATAAAAGTATGCTCATTAATATCAATTTTACAGTAATGTATTGATACCGAGAGACAAATTCAGCTGTAAAACTAACCTCTAGACCTATTAATGTTAACTAGTTAGTTGATTTCTGAGTGATTAGCTAGTTGCTTAAACTTCAAGTGTTGGTTTTCAGAGATTTGATCGATCTCAAGATTGGTCACGAACTGACTCATCAGTCAGTGAACCACTCAAAATAAGCAAGGAGTACTGGGCATCTATTTCGTCGTAGTTTAGGACACGAGTGAATGAGTGCAAACCAACACTTGAAGACTGCAGCTTTCTCCTAAGCATATAATACAATATCACATAAGACGAACTATCTTAAGAAATTCAAATCGTAATTAACCACCTCTGTTCTACCTATTCAAGTATATTGAATAGCGGAAGTGTGGTAAGTTTGTTTTTCCATAACTTATAAATATATATATTCACTCATAATCATCATTATTATTTTGTTCTGCTATTTGGTACACAGGACAGTTTACAATTCGATTCACTGTTCAACCTGAAGATAACGATGAAATATACAAAACTAAAACGCACATTGTCAGTCTGTTAGGCTCATATTTCACTAATAATGAAGCGACACCATGGGCACTTCAAGCTTTTATCTTACCCGGATCAATATTATCAGTTAACTGGGGTCATTTATCTAATGAGGGAACAAAATATATTCAAGTGCATGATAATTCTATAGCCTTGATAACTGACCAATGGAATGTGATTGAGATTACAGTCAATTTAAAAAATCATGAAATATATACAAAGTTGACTAATAATAATGGACATGGTATTCAGCATAAATCAGAAGCGAATATACCATCGGCTATCACCAGCAGCACCACTACTGATATATTTAAAAGCAGAGCTTTACAAAAATTTATTGGATTTATGTTCGGACAAGCATCACAGCTACAACTGACAATTGAACCAGGTGTTACTTATTCACTGAAAGATTTTCATCTTGAATCACCAGACACCGTGAAACGTCGGACACCTCGACGATTGAATAATCTATTCGATGATATACCTACTAATCCAATTAAGTATATTTCATCAGTTAACTTTCCAGAAGGCAGTTTTGTTCGTTATGATTTTCGTAATCGTCTACAAAGAACAGTTGAAGAGGAAGTGTTGACAATTAATTTCACTATACCATATGGTGTAACTTCAGGTTTACTTTGGTTCAGTGAAGGTGAACAATCAAAAAGTTATGTGTACATTAAAGTAAGTCTTCATTTATTTAAGCTTAGTACACCCAGTTCTGTTGTGTCAGTGTGGTTCAGTGATACAATGCTCACCGGTAACACAAATGGTTGTGATTCATATCAATCAAGTGCTTTTGCCGTTGGCAGTCTGTCACCTGCAATTCACAATTTATTTGTTTTTCCAGCCCCTAAATACAGAGCGCGACTACTCCTCTCCATGTGTGTGTGCCCATACACACACAGTTAAGTTGGTGTACACTTTGAAATGTGACATAACCACTTCTACAATGTTCAGGCTTGTGTGGTAAAGCATGTTTTTAGCTTTCGATAATTATAAGGCTGATTAGTTGCTGCATAGTATGGTTTGCGAATGACTGAATTTATTCTGTCTTTCTTAATATCCTACTGCTTATATCCCCGTTGTAAAGTAATTTGATGATATAGACATCTTTCTTTGGGACGGACGGATGGAATAAACTGTAGGCTATGAAACTAATGGACCAGTACACTTATTGAAAAACTGCAAAGGATAGCAGTTTTCGAAAATTTTATCCGTCAATATTTTATCGCCATCATCTATGGCATCAGCTGTAGAAATAACTTGTGAATTCTCTGGAATAGGCAGTTAACCAATTCTCTGTTATTGTATATTGTAATGGATAGAAACTGTGAAGGTTCAAAAACTGTCCTGTTCAAGCAGGCTTTCTTTGAATCGCGTGTTTATGGAGCTAGCCTCTTTTCGACTCAGAAGTATGTCCGGGAATGCTAGTTGGCTGTAACTTTCTTACTTACGTTTAAGACTTGTGATTTTGTACAGAATTAAGTCTTTATTGCATATTTATGGTTATTTCTGTTAAGTTCAGTTGAAAATAGAGATTCTTCATATATTATCTGATGATTTTTATGAATAATATGGTCCTTCCACTTTGTTTCGTTTATAATTTTCTGAATCATATTGAATTTTAGAATTCACTGTTATACTATATTTATGCAATTACTGACCAAACTGGGAAAGCTCAACGTACAGTCACAGAGGAGATATTTTTAAATTCAACTCTGATTCCAGAAAAGCCTCAAGTTCTTCAACTGATAAGAGATCGAGATAATGTAGGTGGAACGTTATTGTTATTATTATTTTTGTTACTGTTGTGGTGTCATATGAAGGGTTTGATGTACATCCAGTTGTTTTCATAAAACCCCTGAAAAACGAGTGGCACTAGAGGATTCTTTCGTTAACCCTGAGACATCTTAACACACAGGAATCAGAATGTTAGGGTTCAGTTATTATGATACCATTAGGCTAATCGGTTAATTAGAATCCATTGGTCCCTATTTCTTTCCAAACTAAGGTGGGTACGCGATGTAACGACCTGCTTAAAACTTGGGCCACCAAAAATCTCTATCTCTCTATTTTATATATTTTCTCTCGTTCGGTTTGTTTTAATCGACTAAGATATCACCTCTGGTGGTATTATCTACTCTTGTGTGTGTTTTAAATGTTTACAAACTTCTGATTCTCAAGTTCCTACTAAACTTCCAATACATGAGATAGCTGTTCTTCAGTTATGTCTTCCGGTCTTAAAATGTACTTCTGAATATTTTTCAAATGGTTTTCAACTAGATATTGTGGATTTCTTGAAGATGACATAGCAGATATATTATAATGGAAAGGTTTGTGCTTCAGCTCAGAGAGCATTGGGTCACAGGATACACTGTAAATTAATATTTCACTTGATGATATTGTACAAAAGGAAAATATGCAATAAACTCCTCTGGAAATTCTCTACATTTTATAAATACTGTCCAGAATGAAGATGTTATTATTCTTATGGCACAACAACAAAATTAGTGATATGCTGACATACAAATCAGCTAACCGTTAGCGGTCATGACATACAAGTGACTACATTTCTTTTTGAACCTCCCGAAATTCTGATGAGAAGCCTAACTATGTCAGGTGTCAAGATACTTTTGAAAAATAGAAACTAGTGTCCTCTAACCTAATCAATGGATGGCTATGACATTTCTCTGTCTGTTCCAGCGCATGGACTAGATTAATATATCACAGAATGAATATTCTTAAGCTTTAGGAGGGCGACCGTCTTTGTGACTGTGTTGAGAACTGTCTTTGAATCGCATAATATATATATATATATATGTATAATTTTAGCAAGCACTGATGACTGATATGAATAGGGGTTTCAAATTGGTCTTATCGACCTGCAGTAGGTATCGTGTAGTTCTTCAACTCTCTTCAATCTATGTAATTTTCAATATCAGTCCTTTCTCTGGAATGTTTCTGTAAGAAATGACTGTATTCTAATAAATCAACCTTTTTCTAACAAGTCAGTTAAGAGGTATAGTAGTTACTCAGTGGATTATTTTTACGATGTGTTTTAACAGTACAGAAGGTTCCAAGTTTGGTCATGGATTGATATCAGTTAGCGGACTATTGGAGACCAGGAATTAATGGTCAACCGTTTCTTTCTCGTTTGGGAGTTTTCATCATTATGCACCAATAACCCCACCACCATGGATTGAACCCACAACCTTCAGGTAATGGGGTCAAGTTCGTTGAACAATCAGCCAATGGCATGTGGTCCAGTGGCCCATTCATTGTAACTGCTGTCAAACCGCAATTTTTAGCGCAAATGTTAGTAAATGTCATCCGCAAGTATTTATCCTCATACTCAGAGGAGTTCGCCAAGTTGGGTGTTTATTGCTGGACAGTCTCAAACTAGAAAGAAAAATCTGTGTAATACTCCCTGCTGGTCTTTATTGCTTCTCTAACTGATATTAAACCGTGATCAAACTTGAAACCAATCAAACCCCTACAAAATAACACTTGAAAGTACAAAAGATTTTGTGGATTCAACTTCTTACCACACTATCAAGGAAATAGCATTAAATAAAGGTGGGAATTCTGCCTAGCATCGCTGAGAAAGTACTCTGTAGTTTTTTCAACGAAATTTCCTAATGTACCTTTTGACAAAGCAATAAGAAGACTTAATTTGTCTGATACGTGTAATGTTGTATTTGCGCAACACATTTCGATCAATCTGAACACGAACGGATTTGTCATAGGAATATATATGAGATTAAAAAAGAGTTAAGAGGAAAGAAAATAAATTAAGGTCAAGTTAAAAGGACATATTCAAGGTTAAAATGACAATGAAGACCACTAAACCAAACAACAGAGGTAATAGTATATCTACCCTGGTTAGTATCAAAACAAAGTTTACCAAGGAAGGTTTAGTGTGATGATGAATTATTTTTGAACGCATAAAGGTGGTTTAAACTTCCTAATTGCCAACTAGGGCATCCCCAAACTTTAGGATGATCCCTAAACACGTGTTATAGATAGGTTTAAAAGACGTGTGGAAGCATCAAATCTATGTCCTGTCTCTAATAATATGTTTTGCAATAGAGGAGCTAGGTCGCCTGTTCTCACCATTAATGCGTTCTGGGTTTTCTATTATTGCTGGACAGTCTTGAACTAGAACGAAAAAGAGGTCTAATACTCTTCAAATGGATAAACCTTTTATCACGCGACGTTGTTCAGCCTAAATACTCTAACAAATCAGTCTATTGTTCTCCGTCAGCAACATGTGCTTTTAAGATTAATTAACTTCGCTAAACTAATTTTTCAGAAATTTTTGTGCTTCATTATGTATTTCTCATGGAATTATTGAAGAATATCAGAGATAGAGAGAGTTACTTTGGTGATAAGTCCTCTGAAAGAAGGGCAATAAGAATTATTATTGTTATCCTCTTTCTGGTATCTAGAGGTTTTCGATCATGTATGAACTTTTTGCACGTGTCTATTAATTTCATTTTTTTAGTTGACGATTACACTTGATCATCGTAGTCATGCAAGCAAATCTATCGCTGGTCGTGCACCACTTGTGTCTACAGATGGAAAAGTTTATTTGGGTGGATCAAGAAATCCAGTTCGAGATACAGAGGGAAAAGTGGATAGAACATTTGAAGGACGGATTACAAAGGTCAGCTGATTTCCTCAGAGTTTTATTATAATTTATAATCTTATCTACTTCGTCTATATATATATATATAATCATTGACTGAAATAGCTGAATGGTGACCTCTCTGACTACGACACTGGTCTACACTTGTGTTGAATCACAGAGGGGCTTGTGCTTTCGTAGGGGAAAATTTTCCAATTGGCATAACGAATAAATGTTATCAGACCACACCATAGAGATAGCCATTGAAAATAGCACAATCACAGATATGAAGAATAATGTGTCGGGGGTAGCGGAAAAATTAAGCACACATGAGAAACCCAAATGGGAGCGATTATATACCATATCCCTTTGTTGAAGTAGCGCCACCTGTTGTATCCCGTGGGTCTCAGTGCTTTCAATAAATAAGCCAAATATACTAGCATGATTTCATAAACGTTCAAAGATATGTGTTTCACTTTTGGACATACTGCCTCGTTTAATCCATTACAAAGCGCAGATATCAGTATCAAGAGACATTTTCTGAAAGAAGTACCGCAAATGTGAAGCGGTTCAAGTACATTACGCCGTCAATATTGAGTAAATCAGGAAAAAAACTTCACTGTAAAATTTTACTTAAATAGCATGTAAAAATGTGTAAATTGTCACTAAAACATCATAATAGCGGATTACGACGCTACAATTAACGGGGATATGTAATAAAGGCACTTCCCGAATGTTTTAGAAAACATGTCAATCAAATAAAAATTAGTTTCCCGTGTGCAAGGTTCTAGTATCCACACAGCTTAAGTTTGGCAAAAATGAAGCAGCTGGTCATAACACGGTTTTTCTAACCTGCAAACCAATTCAGATTTCGGGTTTATAGGTATTTCGATGAGTTTTAGTGTAGATTTTATCATGAACCGACATCCGGTGAGGAGTCACTGAAATTCAAACAGCACTGGACATTTGTTTTTTTGCGACTCTTTAGGAATGTGCGTTCACGAACCCATCAGGGACCAAATCAACTATCTTCTAGTTAAGAGAAGAGCTTGTTGATCATTCAACCACTGGCGATGATATCCATCTAAGTATGAATTCTGATTTCTGTCTATTGGCCATAAGCTGTAAACGCTAACTTATGTCCTTAAGCGGCTTCAGAATGCATATTTTGAGGCTGCAGTGGAAAGTCGTTGTCAGTGGGCTCTACCATATCAGGGATGAAGTGGTTGCTCATCGATGGCATTCATTGAGTTTGGTGCCATATCTTGAATAGACGAGATTCAGAATTAACGGGTAACTGGACAGAACCACCCAGTGACTGAATAACCAGCGGGACCTGAAGGTTCAGTGTTCAGTTACTGGTGGCTTCATGGACGCGCACTTCTGAAGAGTCAGGAAGTAGACTGAAATAGCTGTCTAGAGTTATGACGTTTTCAGTCATTGTCTAAATGATGTCGGTTCGTGATGAAATATGCCCTCAAAACACAAAACATTAATTTTGGTTCACGCAATTTCATTCCATAGAATCTGTTAACTGAAACATTGTGATGGGCTACAAATGCCTGTACTAGCTCAAAATTTGTGTACTTCTTACAGGGGCTAGCGGCCCACTTAAACAGTACTAAATTGAGTAGTATAGGCTAAAATGACAGTAACAGTGAGAAGGGAAAATTTAATACTAAAGTTAAGGTTTTCGCTTATTAGCGACTCCAGTCAGGGTGACTGAAATCCCCCCCCCAAAAAAACAGTAGTTATGGGGTTTAGGGTTTCGATTAGATACTAGTCAGTGACTAGTGTAGTGTGTGTCTAGTCCTATCTTTGGTTAAGACTCAATGCTATCAGTCAAGTTTGCAATGTGGCCCGCATTCTAAGTGCCTCGCCATCAGGGTGCACTTTGAATTGCTGGTATTAGATGGTTGGAGGCAATCGGCAGGAAGCCTTGGACTTAGATTTCGTGCTAGTTGACACTCACTAGTCAACAAGGTGTATCAGCAACCTTGAGGGAACTTATGTCCCTTCTGAGATTCGAACCTGTGTCACCCAGTGCTGCAGTCAGAGCCCGAATGGGTCAGTGGTAATGTCTCTTCTGGTTAGTGAGACATAAAGGAAGTACAAAGAGGTGAAATGGATGAATCCCATGTATTTCACAATGGATGTAGCACGGGAGAAAAAACAACAAGGGTAGATTTATTTCCCTGTGTTTTTGTTAGTCTCAAGAGCACCACTGAAATGTCTCAATATCGAATCATTAGGTAGACCTTCATGGTACACTACAAAAGTATCATCCATGTAATGGTGGTACAATTCCATTTACTCCGTTTCATCTTTCAACAGACTATTTTATAGTATTGGTAGAAACATATCCGCAAATATAGGATTTAATGGCAATCTCATGGCTACTCTATCAATACATACTCTTAATTCTTATAATTCTCTCTGATATCCTATCGTCTTAAAAGTACTCCATGAGTTCCTAAAGTTCAACCTAAGGCTCTCCGAATCGCGAATATCTATGGAACTTTAATCCTTTTTTAAACTTTATTTTTAATTAGGCTGAGATCACGAGAAAAGGTGATAAAGATGTAAATTTACTAAATGCTTTAATGGATCCAAATTGGAAGGATTCAATTCAACGAACTGGTATCACAGATGTACGATTTCGTCTACCAACCTCACAACTTGTCATTGGACCAACATCATCGAATAAAAGAACTGGTCATGGTGGTGGTTATTCATCCCTTGAATCGGAATTTTCACGGACTCCAGTACCAATCACTTTTATGGGCACAGAAGATTCAATTATACGATTTGACACATGGAATTTTGAATTATATCGATCATTTAAAATTGAATTTTCAACTTATGAACCAAATGGTATTCTATTTTTTGTGTAAGTTAAAAAGAAAGACATTTTATTATTAAATGATTGCAAATTCCTCAGAAAATGTGTTTTGTGATAGGCTGGTTTATGTCGAAATTGAATTCAAAAGTCTAAATACCAGTAATGGATTGTTAATGGATTCTAATGAATTTTTAACCTAAACATGAACTGATAAGTCTTTCGGACAGTTGTTTAAAGCTCAACTCTCAGATAACAGATTTTACCATTTGAATGGTTCTTGAAAATGTTAAGGTTATTCAGTTAAGGTTAAAAGATAGTGGTATTGTATTGACCGGTCTGGGAGAACAACAGCAGTAAAGTGTCAAAGGAAATCAGGAATATTATACCGATGTCAGAGATTGTTGGATACCGACTAACTGACCGACTGATTATAATGGCATGGTCTCAGCAGTTTAATTATATCTAGACATAGACGGAATTCAGTCACTACCAATGCCTACTAATCCATATTTAATATGGATGACATCCTTAACAGTGGTGTTCACCTTTTTTTAGGAGTAATATGATGCTCACCAATGATTGCCTGCAGGATGAAGTTGCTTTAGAGTTCTACTGAGAAGTAGTGACCAGTAGGGTCAACCATGCCAAGGTGTGAGGACAAATACTCACCAATGACATTCTCTGGTGGTCACCTTAAAATGTGAAGGAATTTAGAAATGAATGGGCCACTAGATTCCATCCCCAGAAGCTGAATGGTTAACGAGCTTGGTTGCGGAATTCGAAGGTCTTGGGTTCGATTCCTGGGGGCAAAATCATGGGTTGCTACTTCTGAAGAGTCCCATACAAGGACGAAAGATAGCCCAATACGCCCTAACTTTCAGTGGTTCTCTAATAGACATCAGTTCGTGATAAAACTTGAAACAAATCAAGTCGCTACAAATAAACTCTTGAAAAGAAATCCATAAATGAAATTCATAGTCCAGTAGCATGAAAAAAGTCAAAAATGCGCTCTACTTACTGACATGAATGTTTGAAAGTAATTGTTTGCTTGTATGTCAAGCAGATTTCTGTGTGTGTGCGTATGAGCGTATGTATGTTTACATGTAGGTACAAGCATGTTTTTAACCTGCTCCTCCTCTCCCTTGTATATATTTACTTCTATGTTTAAAAGAGTTTGAACCTTATTATTTATTATTAATGTTAGCATAGTGTTATAAATATTGGAAAAGTGAATAATACTTTACAGAATTCCCATACTATTTCTTAAAATAATTAGTTTTCTTAACATTCTTACACTCACTTCCCCGTCCCCCCCCCCCCTTCCTTCTTCTCCTACTCCTCCTCTTCCTCTCACTATCACCACTACTGAATCTTTGTTTTTCTTGAATTTGCATCATCATCAGTAGTATGCAAGTACAATTTCTGGCTATTTTAGTTAGTTTAGTGAAAGAAAATCCAGCAGTAAACAAAAGCCAAATAATAACGAAATACAGTAATAATAATAATAATAATAATAAAGGAAAAGCTACAATTCATGTTAATGCACAAAACCTTTGCCTACACACACACACACACAAAATAATGATCTATGTAGTGTATTCAAGGAAAAATAAAATAAAACTACAAATAAGATAAACATTCAGAGTTGGAACTTTTAATATTGTTCCCGTAGGTTCCGAATGGAACATATTGCTTCAACAGCCCTTGTCTGTTTCACTCTCTTCTCTGTAGTCATTTTTACTTGGCTTCACGATAATCCGTAGCCTTTCACCTCCTCCTCTATTTCATCCACAGATCCACGTTCAACTGGTCGTTTCCCATTTGGTTTTCATTTGTGGGCCAGGCTGGCATGTGATGTCACTTAAACGCCTTCTCAGTATGCCCTCAGTCTATCTACATGTCCTTCTCTAAATTAGTTGGGCAACAGGTTGTTGGCTATTTCGACGTCTGCCGAAATTCCTTGTTGCTTGTTTATTCCTCCTGGTTAGCTATCACCGGCTAAAGGAAGTTGTTTATGGAAGTCTGACAGTCTGTTGAAAACGCGTGTGTCAAATCCCTGAACTGCATAGAAGTAGTGAATAAAAGTTAGTGTTTAAAATTTGTATCTTGTTCCCCTGTGCAAAGTGCTCTGTATGTCTACATTGATTTCAAAGTGCTGAAGCACTGCCTAGCTTATCCAATCGTTGCTTGTTTTTACGTAGTCAGTCATGCCTCCTGTAATTGAAAAGATGCTCTCCAGGTAAGTGAAGAATATGACTTCCTTTAGATTTCTCACGCTGATGGTGATTGACACTTGTCTTCATCATCTCTGTCTTTCCTGTATCTTGGCTGCTTCTTCTAACGGGTAATAGATTTTTATTGTTCATCGATAACTAAATGTGTGTTGTACAGGTGGGGATAAGCCGAAAACCTTAACTCGTTTTTATGAATAATGAATATAAAGTCCAGTCTAATAACATACATCTTTAGCGTTATAGAAGAAATTGGAAATCAGTTATCGATTTAACAGAATGAATTTTGTAGAAAGTTAGATTCTTTCTCTCTCTCTCTCAAAGTAAATGTCATTAATGTTTGAATTTCATTCATAATTATCTTTCCAACTATTGTTTATATGGATATCTACAGAGCTTCCTAAAATAGTATATGTCAATACTTACAGACAGGGTAAAGGTGGATACCGTAGACAAGAAACCTTTGTATCTTAAGTTAAGTTACAAGGGGGAAATTGCAGCTGACATTCTAAAATGTCGACTTAATAGAGCAGTAGATAGAACATTTGCTGCAGCTAAACTGGTACTCAACTTCTCAACTAAACCAGTACTCACACAGCAAGTCAAGGATAAATTACCAAAGACGGCCTCATCAATATGTATCTATGAATTCAACTGCTCATGTGGAGCTAGTTACATTGGCCGTACTCAGAGGGCTTTATCCATGCGCGCGCGTCAACATGTACCTATATGGTTGAGTAAAGGAGTAACCAAATGTGTTATTAGTGCAGTCTTAACCCACTTGGTAGATATTGGACACCCGATAAAACTTAACCAGGCGTTCTCATTTATTTACCGCGTTCCTAGTAATTTATCTAGAGGAGCTCGACTCCGTCTTCTATCAGTAGCTGAAGCGGTTGCAATTAATACCAGGAGACCATCTCTTTGCATACAGAAGTAGTATGTTCAACCTCTATGTTTACCTTGGCCTACAATAAAGCCAACAAATCCTCCATAAACATTAACACTATAAATTCCTTTCACAATTTTCTTTTCTTCTTCTTCTTCTATTCCTCTGTTTCATTGGCAAACGCTCATTTTCGACTTTATGATTTCATGACCTAAAAAACTACCTGTTTATTGTTCCATCCCATCTCATACTTGTTCCACAATACACCTTCTGATATGATTCTAATTTGACTTTCCTGACTGGCTATTGTATGCTTAAATTGTTTATATTGCATAACCCACCCGCTGAGTTGGGCATTTATCAAACTCTTTCTCTTTGTTTAATACAGTACAGATTGTTTGCTTCTATTTATGGCTAAGTAAGGTATCTCTATAAAATAAGTCCCATATATTATAGAATAGATGTAGAGCGGGAGAAAAAACCAAGTGGGTTGATTTCTTTCTCTTCTATGCTTTTGTAAGTACCAAGAGTATTTCCTTCGAATGGTAATTAAAGGTGACAATATTTTATGACTCATATATATATATATATATATATATATATAATTTACATCAAATGTTTTACTTTTTGCACTTAAGTAAACTAGCAAAACAACTACTAAGTAGTGTGAACAATATTAAATAAATATTTTATTCCAAGTAAGTTGGATCATGAACTGAAATTGGTAAGGTAACAACCTTTTAAAATGATAGAGTGCTTACTGAGGAGATATTCTGAACTAGTCTAGTAATTTTCAGCAGTACACATCTATGACCTCATTGGGTTCCTGATTTCCCCAGGGCCTTCACGTTATGTGGTGAACCCATTAATGATTCAGTGATACTGTAATACGGTATTACCATTACTTTGACTACAATTTGTTACTCATAACCATTTCCAGGTGCTCACATATCTTTACAAATTTTGTTTACATACTTCCGTCATTTCTTATCTTTACGTTTTGTGGAACATCCTGGTTGAAGATAGTTCTATGTCTTGAATTGACAAGTTAGAATTCATGAGTTATTAAATACCCCCTCCACACACACACACACACCAAATGTGTGAGTGGTCAATGAGCGTGGTATCGTAGCCTATAGGTCCCAGATTTGGTCCCTAGTAGGGCCGTCGGTACGCATCTTTGAAAAGTGCCAAAATAGGACGAATCAGATATCCAGTGTTCACTTGTTTTCAATGAACTGTGTAACTGGTGTTGGTTCTTGACGAAATCTAACATTTGGAATTAATTAAATGTTGGATTGGACCTTAACTTACCCCTTAAGCACTTGTTAGTTGGCGGAAAGATTTTTGTGTGACACATCTGCTATTCATAATGTAACAAGTTTGGGTTTTAAATAAACTAATAAATTAAAACCTGGATGCACCCTGCTGTTGACTAGTTTAAATCCAATGTTTATCTATGGCGAAATGACTTCTTGAAGCAGTTCACTCTGCTGACAAATTATCTCAATACTTTGAAAATGTTTTCTTGTTTTTTGTATTGTGGTTGTACGATGCGACTATCTTGTAACTTTGGTTATTTATATCGCGTTTCATTTATGTTTTTGAATAAATAAATAATACTGACATGTTCCCCTTTTTGTTTTTCAAATATATTTGCATTCATACAGTGGACCTGATCAAGAACACAGAGATTTTGTCTGTGTTGAATTATTCGATGGGAATGTCTACTTTGTTTACGCTGTCGGTGGTCACTATAAGCATATTCAGTTGAATCCACCAAATACTGTTGTCAATGATGGTGGTATTTACAGTGTTTACGTATCACGTAATGCACAGCATCGATTCACAGTAAGTTGAAAAACAAATTATACTATTCGCCTAGGTTCCAAATGGAACATAGGGCTAAACATAGCATATCACCACTTTATCATATTTTCTGCATTCCTTTCTACCTGGTCTCACGACTGTACATAAGCTATCATCATCATCTCCTCCTCGTCACACCATCTTCTTCATGTCACCCCTGGTTCCATGCCTATTCGGGTTGCTTTCCCCCGTTTGCCTGGAGCTCGAACACACTTCACACCTTTGTTAAAATTTCCTCATGGGATATAGTTTCTTAAAACTCACATGTATGTATATACACGATTATACAGTTTGATTATAAATTCATTGAAAAATGTTTGTTTTCCGAATACATTATAATGACACAGTCGATTAGTTTCAGGCTATGGTGTTTGGGATAAAATTTCTCTTATATATAGAATGTTTAACACTAATTAATAAAATGAAATACCTGATAACAACACTGTAGTTAAGTGTCAGTGATTCCAGTTACATTCAGCTAGTGTAAATGCACAGTGCAATTTACCTTAAGGAGAACTTTATGACTTCTAATGGCAGTTAACATTCATGCATTCCTAATATTAATGTAAAACAGAAAAATCCAGTAATGAAATCGAAATGGTTAGAATACTGAATGATCACATATTGGATATTTCATACACCCGCTTCCTTTCAACAAAGAAAATAAAAACAGCCTGTTTTTTGTTTCATGGCTTCTCTTCTTCAGCTTTTAACCTGTCTTAAAGCCATATTAGTTATTGTAAATGTAAGTGTGAATATATTCAACTCAAAAGACATCTAATAAATTTCAATACATTTATGGATCAGTAGACATGAATATATAATAGTTAATATTGAAAAAATAATCGAACAACCAGTGTTTCTTTATGCATAACACGATAGGAAGTTGGAAAGCTAAGAGAAGAGGGAGGGAGGATTTGAAAAATTTCGGTTATTAGACATAAAGCAATTACGTAAACCAATAAATAAGGGATTTTCCAGTGTTAACTGGTAGGAATTTGATTGGTTTTATGATTGATCACGGATTGATATCAGTTAGAGGAGCATTGAAAACTAGCGAGGATTACTGGAAGGCCCTTTCGTTCTTGTTCGTGAGTCCTCATCAGTGTGCGCTTATAACGCCGCCCAAAAGGGATCGAAGACGGTGCCTTTGCATTACAAAGTGCGCTCGTTGGCCCTTCAGCTACTGGGACGAAAACCAATGATCCATCAATCCTAATTCACATGAATTCGTGATTTTTAGCGAAACTAATCAAATCTTTACCATCTAATACTTGAAAATCATTCTGATTCTCTCTAGCAGTTGATTACAGGACGAACTCTTCTGAAATTCTAGTGAGTCCATAGGGTTAGGTGTCGGGAAAAATACTTGCCAATAACATTAAGTGGCGCTGGGGCTCAAAACTGCCAAATGATAGGAGTTAGATATCATAGACTGGTCATGGCATTCTGTTCTAGTGGCTGAATGGTTGATTAGCTTGCCTCGTAAACTGAAGGTTCTGAGTTCAATCCCTTATGGTGGGGTGATGGTTGCATATTTCTGAAGAGTCCGAAAGAAGTACGAAGCAGCTGTTTATTACTCATTGGTCTCCAATGATTCTCTAAATTAAGTCAATTGATGGTCTAATATGAAGACAAATTATACTATTACACACCATCAACCAAAAGACTTTCTTATGACTAATGCTACATTGAAATGAGTCTGTTTCATCAGACAATGGAGCTTGGAACAGATGCATTTCAGACAGACAACTGATGAGTTTCATATTGAAAAAAGCACTAGACTGGTTCCCGTTTTCCTTGATATCCGACAACTCATTTGGATCTTAACTGCATCCGTCAGCAGTGTGGGATTCGTGATTAATCTTAGAATCAGAATATGCTACCTCTTTTCTCTCTGTCTCTGTCGTAATGATTTATTGTCAGTAGTCATTATATCAGATGAAAACTTTTAAAGATATTTGAGGATTATGGATACTGACTGTCAGTTAATTCGATGGATGTAATTTGAAACCTGATGCGAGTAGTCATCAATGCGGATACATCATTAACTCACTAAAGTTTATGAAAATAACCTAATCATTAAAGGTACCTTTGAGACTGTATAATTTTTCATCTTTCCAAACTGCGTCGAGGATATCTGCTAACAGCTTGGTGATATAATGATACAGTGATTTGACTATGCCTATAATGAGTCTAAGCATGTATTTTATGTAACTCAGTCTTAAATACTCTTCGGCAATTGTCTACCTGACATTACTAATATTTAACTGAACTACTCACTGGTTTTTCCTTCTTTATTTTATTCGATCAATCTATAGGTGAAATTTAATAATCAGTTGGTTGATGTTGAAGAGGGAAGTGAAGCTCATCAAGCTGCATTCGCAACATATACTTATATTGGAAGCATTGATAATGTGGGTCGATTGCCTTGGCATGTATGGTCACGTGAAAATTTCGCCGGTTGTATTCATTCTATTTTAGTTAATGAAAACAGTTATTTGGATGTTTCATCGTAAGTGTATCATTTATTGAATATTTAGAAGCTTTCCAATTTTTCCTAGTGACTGTATTTATGATTCTGCGTCGCTGGTTCCATATTAAAATGCTCACCAATTATGAACCTGGTCCAGATTCACTTCCTGTCCGACGTACCACTAAACCTCGCTTAGCCGATAGTAAGTCCGGAAAAGGATGAAGGTTGGGAATGAAACTGTCAACTCTACACCGTAAAAACTACACCATAGTTAGATAAACTTCACAACTCAAGCTTGAAGCTCTATTTTCCATTCGGGACTCAAAGAAATGAATAGTAATTAGTATTTATGATTCACCTCACAAGCTGATACCATCTCATGAACCAATGAAAGCCAGTGAAGAACGAGGCAGTTTCTTCGTTTTAGTTTAGAGCAAGACCATGTAAAGCTTCGGTGAAATCATGGCGATTTTATTTTCAGATTAGTTATATTTTCATAGACCAAACAGCTTACTAACTAACATCCGAAGCTATTTTTTGACTAAAAGTTGAGCTATGATTTCACGCGTTATAGGTGAAATATTTGATTAGGCATTGAAAATAAACTGTCATTTTTGTTTCTACTCGTGGTCCTAACTTCTATCCAAACAGAATGATTTCCTGACACCGTCATATTTTGTTAGATCTTATCAACTACGTACCAACTTACAAGTCAGTGTAAAAACGCATAAATTGTACGAAGAGAAAGAAGTACTTGTTTCCGTATATCGAAGCATATTCTGAAGAACTTGAGAATCAAATAGTGAGAAAGCCTTCTTCACGTGGTAGATAGGGTGTAAGAAATCGACCTTCGAAAATCTTTTAAGATAATGAAAGCATGAAAAAACTTCATTCTACGCTTTAGCCTTACAACATTTCGCTTGCCATGACTGACAGGTTATGCGGTAGATTTACCAATGTAAATCCTAATGCAATTCATTACATTCATGGGTGTATTTTGTTCCATTCTATATATTGTATGACTTTTGTGTTTTTCCACCGCTGTCGAGGAATTTTATGGAGCATTGCAGTTATCATCGGTATTTCTTTATTTACGCAAAACTTACTGTACTGTCTTTCTATTCCTTAATTAGTCGAATGATTCAGCATACAGATATTGGTCGTGGAATTCGATTAGGACAGTGTGAAGTACCTAAACAACGTTGTAACGATAGAATTTGTGGTGGCGGTCGATGTTCTAGGCGTTCATATCCATTCTTAGAAGAGTTGAATTTTGCTTGTGATTGTAGTGAATCTGATAAGACATTTCCAGAGAAAACAATGGATATTCGTCGATCTGTTGGATGCCATCGAGGTAATTAATACTAGTCATGCTGTTTATATATATATATATCTTATAGTTTACATTTCAGTGAGAAGTAAAGTTCCTACCATGTTAATCAATTGATCTATCCTGTGCTGGTAGTTCAGTAGTGGGACGTTAGGAAAAGAGGGTTGGCTGAGTGTGAGTTGGGTAACCCCACCCCATCAAACTAAACAACACCATCGCTATTGAGACTTCAAAACTTGAAGCTTGGAGTCCTACATTCCACTCCGAACACAAAGAATATATATATATATTTTTTAAGATCTTAGTAGCACAACTGGGCACACGAGTCTGGGTGTTTCTGGCATTCATCATTATTAATATACGTAGGTTTCTGAGAGTTCAGAAGATGAAATGAGGAAAGAAGTTACGATTGAGTCAGAGAGAAGGAATTCAGTCTCTCCTCATACGTTCTGAAGAGCATTTGGTGTCTGTTAAGTCAAAAACAACAATGGCAGCTGATTGCCAACTACTTTTTGTATACCACATCACCATAAGCTTAAAAGAAAATCTAGAGGAAACTAACTTTTATTCTTAGTATATTTGCAGTGAGTGCTTATGTGGAAGGATAAATTTTTGATTTCGATAATATTCTTAGTAAAATAAGTGACACTCACTGATCTGAAGTTTTCAAAAGTTCTATTGAATAATTTTAATTGACAGACTTTCACTGTTATTCTTCACAAAGAAGTTAGCGCTGATGATGTTGTCTAAAAGGACAATCAAAGCTACACAATTAAAAATCATCTAAATGTCAAAGATCGGAGCAAAGCACCCAATACATCTAAGTAAGCCATACAAACACCTACACCATCCTCAGAATAAAAGCCAAATGATAATCATAAGAAATGTCAGTATGTACATGAATCAGTCATCAAAATGCTAATTATTATCGTTGTCATTCCTGTTGGTCCTTTGACCATTCGTGGTCATTAAACTCACTGACTTGAATTTAATGTAGTATGCTTGTTGTTCCAGTCTTGAATTCTGTCAGCGTTACAAACATCTCATGCTGAGCACAAAACATAAGTCGAGATGAGCAACACCATGCTGACTGACCTCTTTAAAAATCTGATCACACCAGTTTGGTTTGTATGATTATAATTCATTCAATCTTACTTTCATGGAATTATGTAAGTTTCATAAGTACGAATTACTATTGAGAAGATTCTGTTATATCATCTAGGTCAAAGTAAAAGAATCTTTTAAAGAGATGTATATTCATTGTCAAATGAATGCTATAAGACTGAACAGCTGATTGCTCTGCATTAACTTACAGTGAGTTATGGTAGGAGATCTTGTTATCGAGGTTGACTTGGCTGTCTCAAAATAAGGCGTATGTAGATAATACATACAGAGGCGAGTGGTAGCTTGTAACCTTGTGAGTTAAAGTAGACTGTTTGTATTGCATCTCTACTCGCGTAGAAAACTATCACTTTATAAAAAATTGTCAAATCTCAATCTATAACTTATTGAAATAGTAATTACAAATATACTTGACTTGAGTGTCAGTCAGTACCGACTGATTTCAGTGTGTATGATGGATTAACATCATTCAGACAAGTGCTGAGGATTGATGAGCATTCAAAAGTTATTCTTTCTTAGTGTGTGTCACCTAAACTGTCAACTGAGAGCCTACAGACTTCACAATAAACACCATACTACTTAACTGTCAATTCGATATGTAAGGGAATTTGGAACTTCAGATTGTAATTTACTGAATATTCAGCCTGTTCATAATTCATTGCCGTCATTAAGCATATATTAGTCAGTCCTTCGTCCTCTCATCAGAAGACTTGATGGAAACCATTTTGAAGCTAGTGACTAATGGACACTGAACTACATTATGACAAAAAGATTTTAGAAAATCTGAACTTAGCGGATGATTTATTTCTCGTGTCTCACAAGCAAAAATCAACAGGTTTGCAGCAAAGATAGTGAAGACAGGACTCCAAGTGAACGTAGAGAGGATGTAATTGATACATTCAATTAAAACAAGTATTGACCATCGTGAATGAGAGAAATCTAAAGAAAGTCTACTTATTCCCTTACCTCGACAACATCCTTTCAACTACATAAGGCACGAATGAAAGTGTAAGAAAGCAGCTGTCAGGAAATCAAGATTGTTTTTCATCACTCTGATGTCAGTGTGGAGATCTGTAACACTTGACATATGGGCATAGGATCTGAATTGTTAATATTTATATTAAGTCAGCTCTTCTATATGTTTCAGAGACTTGGCTAACACGTCACCAAAAGCATTTCCAACAGGTTACCGAAGGATTTCCTCAGCATCTGCCCCCAGTCGATGGTACTGAAAATCCTATAGTCGCCCAGAAAGAATCAACTAGCAACAAACAAGTCTGACAGGTAGCGAACCAGTCAACAGCTTATTGCCTAGTAAATATGCAGAAGGAAGTGAAGATGGATCGACATTAGCTGAGGAGATACTTCAGTGACATCACACACCATGTCGTGGATCCTGAATGATTAACAACGAGTTCGGCATAAGTTCAAGGGTGATATAGGGATAATGTGAGATAGAAACGAAAGATTTTGGGCTGTAGTGGAACCAGCTAAAAATGATCACAAAGAAGAGGGTGTTGAAGCCCTGTGTTTCACTCGAAACTGACGGGATAGATGATAAATGTGATACTTGAACAAAGCAAGAAGGACATATGTACCAGGATAACACGAGCTTATCTTTCATTATTTCAAGGATGAGCTCATGTCATCCTGGTACATTTGTCGTCCTTGCTTTGTTGAAGTTTATTAATGGAAAGAATTGTATAGAGTTTTTAAATAAGTAAAATAATAAATTCAGACAGGCTGATTATTGCACAATTCAGAATCTTTTTTTTACTTATCAAGTCAAATCTTATTTTTCACTTTTGTGTTGTATTTTTATTTAATTAGATGCTCCAATTCTTGAAATGGATGGTGATATGGTCTATGTGATCGATTTTGAGCAACAGATTAATAAACTGATAACGCACACAGATGATATTAGTCTACAGTTTAAAACTGATGCACCTTTAACAGGACAATCACGTCATCTACCATTGTTTTATTCAGTTTCACGTGCAGACAAATCATATTTCCGTGTTGATTTAGTCGATGGACAAATACGTGTTCAAACGAATATTAATCATAAAGGCAAACCTCATGCATATGAAGTAAGTAGGGGTATTAATATATGTGTAAAACTTGGGCACTGTGGTAGTAAGTAATTCCATATTAGTTTGTTTATTAGGTATATAGGTAAGTAGAGGTAGGCTATGAAAAGAATGATCGGTTTGAATCGACACTTCAAGAGTAACACACTGATGATTGAAGTCTGAAGTGATGTTAAGCAGTGGTTAAAGGGTATAATCACCTGGTCAGCTGTGATGTCAGCAGGCTAGAATGTACCTATCAGAGATCATGTAAGTCTCCTTCGGCGGTGTAGGCATTACGCTAGGAATCAAGTGTAGGCCGTCTACACATTCTCTGACTGGTAAATTCCAATGTACTGATTGTAGTCTTTATGTTAAAGATATTATAACATCCCGTAAGGCCTAGCACGTGTAGTATTCAGACTTCACTTCTCAGTGTTTTTTTCTTCTGTTTTCTTTATTCAGTGAAATACGCTGTGTTTTTTTTAATTGGTGAAACCATCTTAGATAGTATTAGTGTGCTGAATTTGTAATGACCTAATTAAAAGTAATCATTGAAGCTAAAAAGAAATCAGTTCAAGTAGTGATAGATCACCTGAGGGAATCCTGGCCAAAAATGAGTTTTTTCTTAGATCAGTAAGGGGGTTATTTTGCGATACTTTCTTAAGTGAGAAAGTTTTAACAGTAAAGTGAAATTTCTGGCTAACTTTTATTTAAATAGTCATAAAAAGACTATATGTTTATAGAATGTGTTTCGACCTTACTTTAACTATATTCATCGGTATTTTCCGCTGAATATTCTTATTCTTGATAGAACTCGCAGTCTGCGAAACATTAGGTAAGTAGTTAGATCTCTGAAACAAATGATCTATGATCTATCTAGTCAGCAGGAAGGATAGAATGCGCCTTAAATAATCATCTCAACTTACATATTTCCTGAAGAATGGCGAATAAAAATTAATTTAGTATTCTCTTAGCTTTGGTATGTGATTACGAATGTATACATCACTAGGCTATCTGATTTCATCGGGATTTGCTGTATAAATTGGTAAAGTTTGTCTAAGCTATTTGATGAACATTCATGTCTGGTACTTGTCAGTCTTGGATACCATGTGTCAGTATTTTTGACCTCGATCTGCCGAATTAATGAAAAAGGTAATAACTCTCGACATTGTTTTCTGTAACTCATGAGGAGCATACAAGTTTTACTTCCTTGTGAAGTCGATACTTGAATTTTGACTGAAAGCTTTGAGTATAAGACTTCAAGGTGGAATGGTGAAGAAATATCATAAAATTATTTCCCTTGATAAACTTGAACAAGGCAACAAGAAAATACTGTGCAAGATAACATGTGTTGTCATTATATTTCATTGGTTCTTCTCAGCTGCATCTAACTATGATCAATTTAATATCAATATTGTGAAATATTCAAATACTGTAGTTATTGATCATAAAGTTGATGAACATTAGTATCACGTGATTAGGTAGCATAATGGAAAGGAATAAAGGTCGTTGTTAAGCTCTTCAATATGCATACAAATAATTAATAAATATTTTGGAATTACGAATGAGTGTTACAAATTTAAAAGAGGTGTAAAATCAACAATCCACCTGTGTAAGGATCAAGTAACTTAATCGAACAGAGGTCAAAAAGGAGTCCGGTTAAGAATAGCTGGATAAAGATAAAGTTGGGACAGGAAACTGCATAATAATAATATTATAATTAAAACAACATAATTAACACACGCAAAGTGCATTCACCAGGGTAAAGGAAGATTAACAGTGGTTTCCTTCTGGTTCTGATCATTTAATGGTAATCGGATCATAGATACATAGTACTTTGGAGCTTTCTTGAACTTTTATTAATTCAAAGGATTTTATTACATCGATTTCATGGCCACAGTCTAACATTTGGTGAGCGGTCATACTGTGACGACAGAAGGCAAGAGTCAGGCAACAAATCATTTATAAAGGAAATCAACGCATATTTATATATTTTCATGTACATTACTATGGATATTTAAGTAAACAAACACAGTCGTCCGATTGGTTGTTTCTCACGTAAAGTTAATCTTTCATCTATTTGTGACTGTTTCTTGAATGTCAAATCCTCTATATGTTAACTGCATCCGCCTACGCACAGTCTGCTGTGGTCGGTTTTGAATCAATCTTTGTTCACATTTTCTCACAACAAATCTTGGGAACGTAAATATTGACGTAAATTACTGTCTACCGATTTGGCTAGTAGACAGCTCTCACCACAATACTACTAGGCACTTTTGCGACTTTCGGACGAAAGTTTGTTGAAATAAGCGCAGACAGGTGGTCATAAACACAATGTAAAATGGTATATGCAGCAGGAAAAACAATTAGGATGTATACGCATACGTACGTATCATTTATTTGCAGTTTTAAGTTAATACATTATTTCTCTGCTTAATTACTTTGTCTCCTTATTCAAGGAATTCTTTCTCCCAAGTGCAATGCTCAACAATAATCAATGGCATACTTTGCATATTGCTCGTCGTGCAGACCATATAGTTATATCTGTTGACAGAGCTTCGGTAACTGGTAAGTTCAATTCAACAGTAAAGGATACTTATTGTTATGTGTGTGTGGAGTTTATTGTTTACTGAGCACCATGAGTAATCAGTGAATTTTTTTTATGAAATAAAAGAGATTTATGGCTCAGGCAGATCATTTTTGATGTCGTTGTGTTCTCTGAGGTGGATGGTTTAGCTGGAAACAGTGGAAATGCCGAAATTTTTCATGGAATTCACAGAAGCCTGCTACTCAGATGAATCTTCAATCAAAAGACACATTGTTATTTTTATTCTTTCGGGTTCTGCCTGTAGTTGAAACAATGATGACTAGATAAGTGAAAGTGGTGGCCTTCTTCAAGTTCCTCCCGTTGGTGGTAATTGGTGCTTGTTGCTTTTGGTTGGGATTCTTCATCATCTCTGTCTTCTCCATATTCACTGTAAGTCCTTTCTTCGCTACTTCTTCTCCCAGCTTGCTGGTTTTCGCTTGTAAGTCTTCGAGTTAGTGTGGCACTAGGTATAAGTCATCCGCGAAATCTAGAAATTATAGAGTCTTCCTATCAACTCCACATTTCTTATCTCCTCTCAGTCCACAGTTTGCCGCGTGATCTAGTTAACTGCAGTCAGGAATATCGTCGTTGATAATTGGCATTCTTGTCATACTCCTACTTTCTCTTCAAAGGCTTCGCTGTGTTTTTCGTCTTGAATTACCGTCATATAACTGCTGAATTACGAAAACGAAGGGAGAAGCTGAGTTCAATGTACAATGCACCTGGTACAGAAGTGAAGAATTTTTGGTAAAGACAAAAGACCATTCTACGACACACTGGTAACTAAGGTAAAGCAAGCCACAGGTAAAGAAAACTTCAGAGCATCGTCTCAGATAACCAGGTCGCTATCCAGCAAAGGATTACCTCAGATGAAACCAATGAAAGATAGTCAGGGAACCTAATTACCAAAGACGAGAAGCCAAGGAAACAACAAGCTGGTCCCTTCAAATGACTCTTGAACTGACCACTACCTGTAACTTGTCCAGAAATAAATCTATCAGCTATAAAACTGGCGTTAACCACAATCCTCCCACAAAATCAGTAGTCTTCAATGTCATAATGCAAATGAAAGTAAACCTGGGAGGCAACAGGACCGAACAAAATTCCTTCAGAAGCAATGGAAATGGATCCCAAGACCTCAGCGGTATATGCTCACGCCACTATTACAGAAAGTTTAGAAGGAATAGAAAGTACCTGCCGACTGACTGGAAGAAAGGTTTCCTTGTTAAACTACCAAGAAAGGGTGACTTAATCCTTTGTATAAACGCCTTGGAATCACGCTCTTGCCCATGCCATGCAAATTATTAAGTCACATTATCCTGAAGAGGCTGAAAGATGCAATAGATACGAAACTTCCCGGAACAAGATAAGTTCCGAATTGCAACACTGAGCATTATCATCGAAGAGAGCATAGAATGGTAGTCAAATCTCTCCCTCAACTTCATCGACTTCTAAAAGGCCTGCAATATTGTTGACCGCTAAATAATTTGAAAACTGCTTCAACACCACAGAATGCCCGAAACCTTTATCAACGAACACATTAACATATCTCAAATTCATTAACTACTAAAGAATTATTCATATGACAAAAACATAGTCAAACTCCAGATCAATAAAACGAAGCATGGCGAAATACCAGTTAACAACTGACCGTGACTAATGTCACTAAGAGAGACAATTATATCAGTCATAGAGAATTCAAACAATTCCACTTCATACTGAAGTCTGCACTGAAGATAGTATTGTCTGGAAAGACAATGAAAGCTTCTCATCACCTGTTGCATTTTAATGTCAGAATGTTATTCATTAAGCTTCTATGGAATTAGAATTGATTGTTATCCCTTTAGGCAGACTATCTTATAATGACACTCACTAATCTTGATAATGATTAACGAAGGAGATTAGTCATCACAGTAAACTGCTTTTATACGCAAGAATGGCTATCGCATCCCTAGGTGAATTTTTGAATAGAATCATTAAAAACTGTTATGATATCAATCGTATAATTCATATGAATAATAGGCTTTATTATATATATATTAGATGTGGGTAGTATATGCACGTCTATATAAAGGGTAATTCCTGTTTACCTTGATCAATATTTTTACAGGTACTCTATTCATTGAAACTCCTTTACGAGGTAGGGAGATAGGGGGAAAAATAACTTTAATTGTCTGTTATTCACCTATGGTGTACACGTAATTTAAACACTTTTGTAGATATTACTTTTTTGGGTAGATGGCAGTGTTGTCATTCAGGAAGATGTTGATTTGACAAGATGTGGTAGTAGAGTTTGCCATCACAGTTTGTACTCATGACTACATTACTAATACTACTACTACTACTAATAATAATAATATTAAATACTATTGTCACTACTAACAGCAACTGTATAGATGCTCACTGATATCTACTCACAGTAGGGGGTGATTATTTTTCGCAGGTGCTTTATTTTAACCATTGTGAATGTTTTATTATTCAGATAAATCATTTTAATTATAACAGTACTGAAGTTAATTTAGTCATTTCTTCATATACTTCACTTTACGAATTTCATTAAAACAAAAACAAAGAATTGTGCAAAATAAGATGCTACCATCGTCTATTTCGTCGGCTTCTCATCATCTGCTTACAGCTCAAAGAAATTATCAAGTTTATGTACAAAACAATTTTAACATATCTGTAAATTTTCAGTGATATCACTTAGTGACAGGAGACTCCAAACTTCATAAATGGTGTTCAGAAATTCCACTTATAAGGCTTCTATCCACATGGTTCAAGTCTGAACGAAAAATAAATGCTCCAGTACAGTGGCGAAGGAGTTGTGTAATAAAGATGAAAGGTGTATGATATGATGAGTAACTGATACGTTGAGTAACAATGTGGTGAGTTCACCTCAAATCACAGAAATAAGAGACAAAGAAAATTACTTCAAACCGAAGGAGAAGAGGTCAGAATCAAAGATAGTTAACCATTTGAACACATAAATCGATTATCAGTCGTGTGATAGCAGTTGCTTCTGCAAACTTGAGGAGAACTGAACTACTTTGTCTGTCATTAATTTTTAAGGATTTCATGGTGTCCACTTTATAACGCGTAACGATGAAGTGCCTGGCTGTGGCACTACCGAACTTGATAATTTCTTTGAGCTGTAAGTAGATGATGAGAAGCCGACGAAATAGACGATGGTGGCATCTTATTTTGCACAAATCTTTGTTTTCACTCTTTTCATATTCAGTCATTGTACAGTGATGACGAAAAAATAGCAGTTAAACGACAATCATATAGGTCATCATTTCATAAGGAGTTTCATTCTTTTTTGATATATGACAGCCTTTGCTGTCTGTGTATTCATTATGTCAATGATGCTTACATGACTGACTACAACTGTTGATCATTTTTGTTTAACCATTTGGTCACTGTTAATGGCGACAAGGATATTCAATCATCATAACAGAGATTAAATGGAGTGGAGGAAGACTCATATTTCATCATACAGTATATATTTATAATCATTATTTTAAAACCTAATGGGTGGAATTCATTCCATTGTTATTATTATTATTGCTGTTATTATTATTATTATTATCTATAGTTTGGTTTGTATAATATTCTATTTAAACAGAGTAGACGCTCACATTAATTAACCTTTTTCTTCATTCTTGAAATCTTTTTCTGTAACCAACATTCAAAATTTTTTTCCAGAACGATTCAATATCTGTGAGCAGAAACAGTAGTAGTTTCATTACTAAGCTTAGATGATTTAGCACTACCTCTCTGAAAGCTGTTAGCAATCTAACCCTAGTTTGTGTTATACTTTTTAACGCTCAACTCTGTGTGCGTGTATATGCGTGTGTTTATAAAATAATATGCTAATCAGTTTTACACACATGATATTTTTGCACATTTTGGAGTAAACGATAAAAATGGGTGTTGAGTAGGTCGGTGTGTGTATGGGCTTGCACATCTGAATACATCTGGTGATCAAAAGGAATTCATTTTTGCCATGGAAACTTGAGGATTGACTTCACTTTCTTAAATCTTAAATTGTTTGATCGATTAAATATTCAAGTTTGGGCTTACAGGGCTTTGATTGGTTACAGGTTTAATCGTGTGCTGACATCAGTTAGAGGACCATTGGAAAACCAGGAAGTACTGGACAGTTGTTTCGGCCCACTTTGCAACTCTTCATCAGCACACATTCGCCGTGGTTCACACCTCATGACCGGTTACAAAGAGAGGTCATTGACCATTCAGCCACTGGGACCAAATCTAATGCCCATGAATTCCGACTTCTGACTATTCGTGTTGTTCACAGTGCAACCACTAGCCAATGTCATAAGCGAATAACTGTCCTCTTACCTGACCTGATTGACACTTATAGTTACCTCTCACTAGAACTTAAGGTGACTTCTCGTATACAGTGAGTCGCCAGTATGCGTCCAATTGGTTTGAAAGTGTTGGTTTGCAGGTGTTTAGTTGGTTATAGATTTGATAGATGTCAGCTAGAGAACCATTGAAAAATCAAGGAGTACTGGATAGGTATTTCGTCCTATTCTGGTGCCCTTCATCATTACCACACATAAACAGGTGGTCAATTTCCAGGCATGGATCGAACTTTCACATCGACACTCTAAAAGTATGGTTAGTAATCACCATTCATTTAATTCTTTGCAAAACAAAAATTCGATTTGGAAGTTTGTGTGTGCAGTACTAGTAGATTATTTTGGGTTCATGTATTTTTTAAATTTTTTTTTTTGGTGATGCTAGGTGAGAAATTTATTCATAAAATATTCATATTGTGTGTTTACATAGTCTAACGAAAGTAATTACAATGGTCTTTTAAGTTAATTATAAGTGTATCAGACTAACTTAGTTTGTTAATTTGAATCAGTTCCACTTATTATTGTTGATGACAAATATGTCTGTACTTATTTTTATTTATGACACCTGTCTGAGGATTTGATTAATTTTAAGCTAGAGTTCGTTAGAAAACGAATCTAGTAGTAATGAAAGACTTCTCGTGATTTGGAACTTTTCAGTGACTCCAAGAAGGATTGCACAATGGACCTTCAGTTTACGAGGTGCGAAAGTTTATTATTCAGCCGTTGAATCATGATCCAGAAACCTCATCCTGGGTTCTATCTCTGTTGAGGTTGCTTGTGAGGACCGATGAATAGACCGAGAAGAAAAAGAAACCAATTTACAGTGTTCATACTACAGAGGGACAAGTTGGATCACTGGATTTATGCTCATCACCTAAGGATCATTCAGTACTAATCCTTTTTCTTTTTACATCCCTTGCCTTCCAAGTGGAACAATCGGCTTCGAGTTTTTGCAGTTGCTGTGGTGTAGTTTTTACAGCGTGAGGTTGTTAGCCTAACGGCTTATCATCGGTTAGTAAACTAAGGAGTGCTTCGTCCGAGAATCGAACCCAAACCACCTGCATTGTTAGTGAGACTTCTACTACGCACGCTTATTCTTGGTAAATCGACATAATTACATTGACACAGAAATTAATGCATATAAACTAGCAGAGTTATGTAAGAAATAGTAAAAAGTTGTTCAACTTCATGTTATTGTTAAATATTACTGAGGGCGATATAAGTAGATAGAAAAGACAACTCATGTCAATCTGAACATCATCAGATGATCACTTCGTCTATTCGAATCAAACCAACTCAGAGTTTAATCAGAATTCAAAAACCACTCTAAATCCTGAGTAACTAACTACTTAGTGGTACGGACATAACACATAGAATGTGATTAGTTACATCTCTATATTTTATTTACCGTCGATATAAGTTAAATCTGTCTAATGCGGAATTTCAGTCGACAAGAATATTGAACTTCTTCACACTTACATCATCCTTCTTTCTGCCTAACGCTACAAACTACCAGTTGAGTGAGATAACTATTTGTCTATCAATCATCACTTGCTACCCAGTCAGATCAAGGTGATCTAAAGACCGGATGGCCGTTTCGCTCGTTTCGGGTTGAACTCTTCAAAGGTGTATGCTGTTTGATTCAGCTCAGGGAGCCGAATCAGTTCAAATCATCCGAATTCCAATTAGTTACTTGGACTAACCGGTAACACTATAAGTGAAATTCACAATTTGCACCTTACACAGTTCGAGGAGGTGAAATCTTGCTACCAAGCACTACTGGTTCATGTGAGTGACATACAGCTACTCATACCAATCAATCAGCACCATTCAGTTTTGCGCATTTATGCTTGTAGTATTGAGCAGATCACATATTGTGGTGATGTGAATAATTTCGATTTCCCAAGAAAACTGTGGTGGAATTTCACCTCCTCAAGTTGTTTAGATTGCGAATTAATTTGCAAACTGAGAATACAATTCATTCAGCCTTTCTATTGATTACTTATCAGTTTGATTTCTTTCTGGTTTAAAGAAAAGTAAACATACATACACACGTTAATTATATTTCTTGTCTAACTGTAATAATTGGTTGATTCTAGGGTGTTAGTTGATAATTTGATACGAAGAAATCGATAGTGTGTGTGTGTGTCTGTGCGAGTTTCATTAATTGTTTTTGAAGAAAAGTTTTCATCGCTGTAGATTTATGCGATTATGCTATCATCACACACACAAACACAGTGTTCAATTTGTTTGGTTTATTTTGCACCAAAAAATAACTCTTTTCTACAATTTTTTGGTTAATTTCTTGAACTTAACCTTATCTCAATAACTTGTACTTGAGTGAAGTGTAAGAACAAATTAGTCCCTTATTTTGTTTTTAATTCCCCAATGACTTTGTTTAACTGATGTTGTATACATTTTTGTTTTTGCTTCGTATTGTGTGTAATATTCATCATTTGATTCAGGTCACTGTCATTTTTCCTGTTGTTTGATCAACTGTACTAAAATGTTCGACTTCTAGTACAGATGCGTCGACGATGTCAGAAACGATGCCTGCCGGGTTCAATTTTCAGTGCGAACACTATCATCACTCACTAGGACTGCCGTTATATGCAGATGACGAGACGTAGACAGGAATTTTCTCTTCGTTGTTAGATGGTTGGAGGCGATCGTTAGGAAGCTCTGGAATTAGATTTCGTGCCTGTTGGTAGCAAGGCATATCTGTCCCTTCTGAGATTCAAAGCCACGTCACCCAATGCTGCAGTCAGAGACGTTACCACTGAGTTATTTGGGTTGGCGATTGTTCTCCTGTAAGACTGTAATGAATACTTTGATTGGACGACAGGAAGTAACTAATGTTATGCATCTAGTCCTTCGTTTGGTGAAGACTGGATTCTGTTAGTCAAGTTTGTAATGTGCCTCACCAACACGGTGCATTCTAAATTGTTGTTCGGTCATAGTGCTAGACCATTCACTTGTGGAATTCTGAAGTCATGAGTCACTGAATTCCATCATACCCACTGGTTGAACGATAAATGTGCTTATCTTGTCGTGGGACTGTGCAAGCAAACTGCCATATTAGGTCAGAACAGCTGTACAACGCTCCCTGGTTTCCAATGAAATTCAAGCTAGTCTGCTAAAGAGGAATCACTTCAGTGTGTTGTAACTGAATCTGTAATGAAGTGATTTAGTCAAAAAACAGTTCCAACATTTGGTTTACAGGGATATGAATAGTTTCAGTTTAGATCACCGGCTGATACCAGATAGAGAACCACTAAAAATCAGGGAGTACTGGAATGCTATTTCGTCCCTTTTCGGGGCTTTTCACAAGAACGCACCCACTACCCCTCCGAGGAACGAACTCAGGACCTTCAGGTTACGAGGTCTAGCAAGTTGACGATTCATCCATTGGGACAGAATCCAACAGTCCATGAATTCTAATTTCAGTGGTTCTCCTACTGATATGAAGCCGTGATAAAACTTAAAACTAATCTGATCGCTACTAACTAACACTTCAAAATTGACCTGATGCATATTAGTGACCGGCTACAGAATGAAGTTGCCTGGATTTCTGCTGAGGGGTCACAACCAGTGAGGTCTACCAGGTTAGTCGGGTGTGAGAACAAATACTCACCGATGGCACTGGCTGGTAGTGGTGTTAGAAAATTCGTCAACTGACAGAAGTTAGAATTGATGGCCCGTAGAATTCTGTTCTACTGGCTGAATAATCAAAAAGCCTGCCTCATCCCTGATGGGCTAATGGCACTGAAGAATCCGAAACTAGAATGAAACAGCTGTCCAGTGCTCCCTGTTCGTTTTCATTCGTTCTCTAAATGATATCAATGTGTGATCAAATTGGAAAACAATAGGTTATTTTTGCATAACACCTTAACTACTAGAAGGCAAATAAGTAGTAAAAGTATGTACATATAAGGAAACTATTTGATAAAGTGCTTAGTATATTTTAGACCAATAGGAATCCAGCTAGCCAACAGCCAATCAAGAAATGCGGTGCAATTCACGCATTTAGTATTCAGAGTAGAGTAATTGAACATAGTTGTTAATTTTAGTTTTTCATTTATTCTTTTTCGTATATATTCTCATTCAAAAACTAAAGGGAAAATACCACTCCTGGACCCACATGATACCTTCCAGCTGATTGCACAACAGATCTATTTAGGCAGTGCTGGACCACCGAATTTTGGCTATTATCTAGATCCTGCCACAAAGAAAACAATCCTACCGCCAGGACCACGATTCGTTGGTGAATTCAGAAATTTCTACTGGAACCAATATGATTTAATTGGTACAAAAGTGTTTCCAACAAAGTATACAGCTCAGTTGTTAAATCCACCTTCGATCAAGCATACCTTCCCAATATGGCCGAGAGAGCAGACTTATGCAATCACACTGAAGCCTAATTTAATTTATGCACATTTGAATAGACCAATTGAAATGAAAAATGGTGGTGATACATGGTTGATTGAATTTAAAACAAATTATGATGGAATATTGTTCAGGGTAAGATTATTTATTGCCCTTAAAAAATTATTGCAAATTTGAATCTTTACATTATTATTTCAGGCTTTTTTTCTCTTCTTTCTGAGGCTCAGTAAAAGTTGAATTCCATCTTTGTTTGAGTGCAAAGAAATAAACAGACAACCATACCGCATTAAGTCTCTGGCTGAGTAGTTCAGGTTTGATTTTCAGTCAATGCACTCGTAAACATCCTGGACTAGTCTATGAATCGACAATAAACCTGGAAAAGAGGTAAGGTTAGGCTGGCAACTTCACCATATAACTTCAAGTCTTGAAGTTCACTGTTCGCAAAAGAGAATCGCGTTAAGTTGTCTAACTATAATGGCCACTGTTTAAATACTAACCAATCGGGAATGCATTAGGTTTTTACGAGTTGATCACGGACTGATATCAGCTAGAGAACCATTGAAAACCAGGGAGTACTGGACAGCTGCTGTTTCATCCTAGTTTGGGAATCATCGGCAGCTGTCCAGTACTCCCTGGTTTTCAATGGTTCTCTAACTCATATCAGTCCGTGATCAACTCGTAAAAACATAACAAACCCTTACAAACCAAACTTTAGAAAATGCATTAGGTGCTTGGTTGCATAGTGACATATAAAATCAAACCCAGAGCTTCTGTTCTTTACCACGTGTCTCTAAATATATTATATCTAGTATGTCGTCTCACAATCATGTCAGTTTTTCACAAAAGTAGGATGTGACCTTAGATCTAAACATTGGTGCCCATTGCGTAGACTAGCATATAACTTATGTTCTGTGATCTGAATAGCTTTCTGATAAGGTTCCTGGCCTTGAAGCTCAGTGACTGGCACACAGCGTTACTCAATGGTTTCCTCAGTGAATGTTTAAGCCACATTAGATGGGTGATAGGTTGTCAGTTGGTCCGCCACCCGTCAAAGTTCCTTGTTTCTGGTCCTTCCTGGCCGATCATCTAAACATCAATACAGAACAAAGTGGGCAACTGTTGATGAAAGTCTGAAGCCTGTTGGAAATGCTTTTGTTGACATGCAAAGCTTCCGAGCCACGAAGAAGCATTGACTTACTCGACATTAGTGTTGAAAATCCGAAACTGGCTGTTTCAGCATTGTGGAGTAGATTTTCATATTGACTTCAGATTAATGAAGTTATATTTTACCTTTTCGATCCTCATTCGTGCTACCTGCCTGTAGTTTAAACGTTGGTGACTGGAGATGTGAAAGAATTAGCTTCCTTCATATTTCTCCCTTTGATAGTAATTGGTGTTTGTTGTTGTTGAACGCCGGGTATCTTCATTAACTCTGTCTTCTCTTTGTCCCACCGAAATATTGTCTTCGCTGCCTGCCTCTTCTGACAGCCGGTTGGTTTTCGCTTGTAGATCTTCCAGTTTGTGACACTAGACGTAAATCACTTGCGAAGTCCAAATCTTCTGGAGTCTTCTTGTTAGCTCAATATATTCCTGTCTTCCCACTGTCCACAATGATCCATGATCCGGTCGATGAAAACCACGAATATCATCGGTGATAGTAGACAGCTTTGTCTTACTCCTACATGGAATACTCTTGTTTAAAACTAATTGATGGACGATAAAATATGTTATAAAGAACACTAGCCAAAGTGTAGCACAGCACGCTTGAAACATGATATCCCACATTGGTATAGAGTTTTGAATGATACATATTCTTTTAAACACTTGTACAGAATGCTCTCGTTTATAAAAACAATCATTCTGTTTTATCAAAGAATTTTAAACAGCTGAAATGTTTCTTGACTGGTTCAGTGCTTAAGAGCTTGGTTTACAAAAATTACCAGTGTCAGTGCTATGATATTTCTTTAAAAACCACTGGGAACTTCGAAACGCAGTGTGTTTGTGTGTAACAAAATCACTGATTCAGTCGATTGATTGTCACCTAACTATCATTTAACTCTTTTTCAAAGAAAAATTTAATAAGAAGTTGCCTTGAATAGAAAAAATATTCTTATAGAATATTATTCACTTATTATGAATGGTACTACTGTTTGCTGAATACTGATGTAAGTACAAAACATGGACACTGTGGTAGAGTGTAACTCCATTATGGATAAGATTTTATTTTGATAAATCACACAGTGTTACACAGTAATATTAACTGATGACGTTTCGAGCACAATTTAATGCTGCTCATAATCATATCAAGTCACTCACACAACTTTTTACTTCATTCATATACATGAGTGAAATTTATTAGACATCTGAATAAAAATCAATCAAATACAATCAGATGGGAAATAAGACTAGTGTTTTTATAGTCATAATAAGTAACTTGTTAGAATGTTATGATGTACGTGAATTGAAATAGAATTTTGAGATTATTTATCATCCTCCTCTGATTTGACTGGTGGTAATAATATCTTCCAAACATATCTCTGGTATTTGCATTGAGTCATTTCTGTTGCATGTGTTGAGTGTAGACTGGATGAACCAGGATTCAGTAATCAATCTCTCTCCACCTCCCTATATTAGTTTTTAGAATTTCGAGTCTGTCCCACCCTATTGTATGGGTGTGTGTTAATGTATGCAGTGCTGTTGCTGAGTATTTTTCAAAATTACTTATCTTCTCGGGGTCAGCCATTTCAACCTTGGGTAAATCCTAAACTAGTAGATCAAGAGGAGTGAGATTATCTGGACATAAGAATTTAGCTTGACTGCTTGACTTATCAAAATAAAATCTTATCAATAATGGAGTTATACTCTACCACAGTGCCCAAGTTTTATACCTATAGCATTTCGTTAAGTTCCTCCAACCATTGCAGGCTTTACAAAGAATATCCGTACATTTGATGCATTTCCTGACTGACTATAGGATCGAGTGCATAGCAGTTCTAGTGAGAAGTAATGGTCACTGAGGTGAGGTACTCGCTAACGACACTGGCTGGAGCTTGCGCTATATTAAATATCGTGAACTGGCTGAAGTTAGAATTCACGGGTTGGTCATTAGATTCTGTCTCAGTGACTGAATGGTCCCTCATCTCTCCTTGTAAACTGAAGCAGTTGGGTTTGGTCCCCACTTGGGTTATACGTAGGTACAAAACAGCTGTCCGGTAATGCCTGCTTTCCAATGATTCTCTTGTTTCCTATCCTTTGGATCTGTAAAGTGCTTAAACCCTGTAGAAACGTATCGTTCGGATTTACTGTGATTACATATATATTCAATAAGTCGGAGTTTAATGTGTTGCCGTGAAGTAGCCTGTATATTTTTTAAGTGTGAACATCCATGAAACAATATAGGAAAATATTAATATCATTGTATAACGCTGTGTGATTTATCAAAATCAAATCTTGCCTATGATGGAGTTAGAGAAATGCTGCTTTCCTAAATTCCTTATTAGAATTATACTTCTGAAAATTCTACTCATGACATTTAAAATTCACACCACCACTGATATTTTGAATAGAAAAGATTATTTCACTAAGTTCACTCTACTCTTGATTACCAATTAAAATTCAAAAACAGCAGTCAGCAAAATGTATATATATATGTATATATATACAAGCCAATGAAACCATCAATCCCACTTACCAATTATTGCACTTTCAGGTGCAGCACAGCATACAGCAGCTAATCTATCCCATGCACTACGTCCACCAATGCGACTTGATTTACCAGCACACCAACCACAACAACCAGGTTTACATCTCCAACAGGCCCATATTAGCGCAGAGATTAATAATAATAAAGCTAATAATAGTCCAGCCAATAATGCATCGACCATAGCACCGCCTAAACCGAATAATCCACCAGCTTGTGAAAGGATAAGTCCAGTGCCAGGATTGATACCAGTTGCACCAGCACCGTAGGCTTTACCATCTAAATGTATACAGATTTATAAAAAAACGAAAGTTAGGATAACAGTGAATTAACAAACCTATTGTAGTGACCAAAATGAGTAAGTGAGAACAGTGAACACGGCCAACCGATCGATATGAGGATGGAAATTTTGGACTCAGCTAGAGTATAATTCCATCACAGAGTAAACTTACTTGATAAAATGACACAATGAATGATACAATATTATTTACTAACAAACGCAGAAATAAATCTGGGTAGTATATTCGAACGCCTCAGTTGTGGAATGAAACAGAGAGATCACAAAAGCTCAAAAAAATGGAAAAACATTAGTGGAACCATTGAGGACAACATAAATTTAGGGAGAGTTTACGGTATCTGCTGTTTTACCACATACAAAGGAGGAACATCTGAAACCCTACGTAGAATTCTCAGTAAAGCAGGAATTCGGGTGGCATATAAACCTACGACCTCACTCAAGGACAAGCTCTGTAAGCTAAACAGCCACACTCACTCGGTTAAACAAAGTAATGTAATCTACAAAATAGCCTGCAATGATTCGGAAGCCAACTACACAAGTCAGACCAGAAAATCGGGAATAGTCAGATTACTAGAACATAAGATTTTAGCTAACTTTGGATTCATTGATCCCACGAAGATGAATCATTTAAAGAAAAAAATCAGAAATCGCAGTGCATACATTAACACACAATCATACGATAAGATCGGACAGAGTTACACTTCTACAAAGTATCATAGGCAGGTGGAGGGAGAGGGAGATTACTGAATCTTTGTTTGTAGAGTGATAAATAAGACAAGTCAGTACTGACATCGGTCAAAGGGCCATTGGAAAGTCTGGGAGTACTGGACAGTTGTTTCGTCCTAGTTTGGAACTCTTCGTCAGTACGCACCCAACGTCAGGATTTGAACCCAGGACCTTCTGGTTACAAGACGAGCGAGCTCGTAGACCATTAAGCCACTAGGACCCAATCCAATGGTCCATGAATCCCTACTTCTACCACTTCATCATATGGTGCAACCACTAAGGAATGTCATCGCTGGCGACTATTTGTCCTCACAACCGACCTGCTGTACCCCACTGGTCACGACTCCCCAATAAAACCCAGGTAACTACCTTCCTGAATAGAGCTAGTCACTAGTGATCACCAGATTGATAACCGATGTCAGTTGGTGATGAAATCCTGAAACCAATCTAATCCTTGTAAACCAACATTTGAAAGACAGATCGGTTGATAAGGTAGTGTATTCTGACCACCTGAGATTACTGAAATATGGGCTAACCATTGCATGCCACTGTCTGTTATGACCAACAGTCCTGCCTAAATTAGGATAAGCTTGTAAAGTGATAAAATTAAGTTACAAAATTGTTAACTTATAACGCATTTCGGGGAGAGAGAAAGGCACTAAATAAATCAACTGACCTTGGCCGGGTTCAGCTATCGGTAGACGCGCTCCAACACCGACCTCACTGCCTAGTTTACTAGTTGGCAGCAGGAAGATTAGGAGTGAAGCTGGCAGCAATACCTTATAAAACGAAATAACAAATTTCAAGGCTCGAAGCCTTCTGTTCCTCTCGGAGTGTAAGAAATGAAAAAACCTCCGATTTAGAAATCGGTCACTTTTTTTAATAAAGTTTGAACAAGAAGACATCAACTGTTATGTGAGCTCATTTATGCTTAGAACCACTAGGATTACTTAACGGAATATATCAGCCGGTAGTGGATGTCATTTAACAATCATTTGAAACATTTAAAGACTGTTAATTTTAAAGTGCCATTGTGTTTATTAATGTGTATGTAAGCTGTGATGATCACTGCTCTATAGAGTGTTGCTTTTAACACCTCATTTTCATAGATTGATCACTCATTTGTATTTTATGTGACCAACTGTTGATTCTCAGGTATTTGTCCCTCAGTCGCCACCATCCATTTCAAACTTCTAATACTGACTGGTTGGAAGGTGTCGACAGGAAATCCTGACTCTTTCAAAATCAGTCACAAAGTGTATCTACAACACTGAAGGTGGTAATATCTCTCAGTGAATAAGAAAACATGGTGTAGTGATTAGTCCGCTTAAGAGAAACTTCTAAATGAGATTAGTACTAGAAAATATCACCTGGCTTAGAGATAAAGCCTCCACGATTAAATGATAGTGATAATAATACGACCTCAGAGAATACCAACTAATATTCAGCCTAATTCATAGCTAAAAGTCTTTGCTGCTGTTGTTAGACGGTTGAAGGCAGTCGGCAGGAAAACCTTCCTAACCTAGGTCCCATGCTTGTTGGTACTCACCATTCATCAAGGTTTGTCTGTAAACTTGAGGGAACTCATGTCCATTCTGAGATTCAAACTTGGGTTATTCAGCGCTGTAGTCAGAGGCTTTACCACTGAGCTTTTCAGGCTCTCTGTTGACCTCTTGGACACTAGGTAATAAATAATATCATTTGTCTAGTTCTTGACTGATAGAATACAGTCTTTATGCATGAAATTAGTTGACACTTAGTGTTCAGTCAAAGTCTTCGCTATTCTTTTAACCCATCTCGTTTCCGTTTTTTCTAACCTTTACTTTAAGCATGTATAAAATATAATAAAAGAGGAAATTGAGAATGATGATGATAAAGTTATGTTGCATCGTTAATTTATTTTCTAGGCTCGTGATATTCGGGAGCCTGACCGTATACATATTACAGCGTTAATTCTTGGAGGTCGTTTGCATATCGCTTATTTATTTCATGATCAACAAGGGGTGTATCAGTTGGTCGGTGGACCGGGTACAGATAATGTAGCTGATGGAAAATGGCATCGTCTTGGAATAACATTAAGAAAATATAATAAAGAAATTCTAGCCTATCTAGATGGTTATTCGAATGAGGTGAGTTATTATTTACAATGTAATTAATAAATACCTTCAATAAGAGACTTGTACACTTGTACAGATTTATTTTTTGTTTTTTTCAAAATGTCAACCCAGGTCAACATCAGTTAGGGAACCATTAATCAACATCGGAGAGTACTGGACAACTGTTTCGTCCTTGTTTGAAACTCTTCGTCAGTCCCATCAGGGATCAAACCTAGGACCTTCTGAGTCTTACAGAGTCAAACTCTTTGATCACTCAGCAGCTTGAGCCAAAACTCAGTGATCCGTGAATACTTACTTCTGTCAATTCCCGATATTTATATCGCCAACACCAACCAATGTCATTGGTGTGTATTTGTCCTCAAATTTGACTTGGTGAACCCTAATGGTCATGATTTCTCGGTAGAAATAGAATGAAATATGAGGTTTTGTCTGGTCTGTTTAAGAATATTACTTTTCAGGTTAGATCACAAAGTGATATCAGTAAGAGACTTATTGAAAACCAGGTAGTACTCGACAGTTGTTTTGTCTTGTTCTTAGATTCTTCATCAGTGCGTGCATCTATGACCCCAAAACCAGCGATCGAACCTGGAACTTAATCTCACTGTGGATTTTGTACTTTCTGGTCGTAAATTATTGGTGGACGTTAAAATTTGCTATTGGGAACTAGCTAATGTGTAGTAGAATATACCTGGGACATAATATCCCGTACTGACATAGAGTTTTGAGTGTCGCAACTAAACTCTGAAATATATTGAATAGTAATATTTTTGACTATATGTTGTATGACCATTGAATGCTGAGATTTTTTGTTTCCGCAAAAGGAAGTATTATAATTCTGAATATAAGCACAGTGCCAGGAGACACTCTTAAGTAAGCCCTTATTATCTTGTATCCTCGTATAGTAAGTAAGAAAATTGCAACATTATCCTACACTGGTGTTTTGTTTATGAGTCATATTTGATTATGAAGCACTAAGTTCATGAAACTTTATGCTACCGATTGATTGATATGAGTAGCTGTATACCACTCACATCGACCAGTGGTGTTTGCTAACCAGCCAGATCGATGCTACCCTTACACAGGAAGGTTGTTTCGCTTGTTTGGGACTAAACTCATTCACGGTGTATCCGTTTTTGTCTCATTTAGTTCAGAGAGCCGAATCTGTTCAAACTAACCGATTTTCAATTAGCTCATTGGATGAATTGGCAACAACATAAATCAAATACGCAATTCACAAATTAATTTGAGGATTACGCAGTTCGGGGTGAACTTTTTTGTTGTGTCTAAAGATTCTTAATTCATGAGCGTAATTCAGTATAACCCCTCAGTAACCATGAGAACAGATCATTAGCCTAAAATCTATCTTTTTTTTCCTGTCATGTTCTAGGTTAGCATGTGTGGAGTTATATTAAAGTTTCTATTGGTGACATTCGTAACATATATCCAAGCCAGTGAAACTAGTGTTCTAACTTGATAGCAAATAGATATCCAAGTATATTCAGTACACTCCGCTGAATCATACCATTGCCTAAAGTATTTCATCAATGGAGACAGATACATAGTCCCCCAAAGCTTATCAAAAACTTATAGCAGTATTTTGAAACAAAGGAAACTGGTTAGGAAAATATCAAAAGAAAGTTCAATGTGAATAATTTATCCAACGAGATGTTGCATTTGTTTCAGTTTCCGTTGACAGGAAATAATGTATAGCTTAATGATATTGTTACTCTGAGAGTATAATTCTATTTATTAGACATCTCTTTTTTGAAACAGCCAGTCAAAATCGTCAGAATAGTTTCAAGTATTTGTTTTGTAGGGATTTTGTTTGTTTGGTTGGAGGATTCCATCATGAGTCGATATCAGTTAAAGAACCATTGGATAACCAGCTGGGAGTACTGTACATCGGTTTCGTCCTAGTTTGGGACTCTTCATCAGTGATCACCTATCCCCAGGGTTCGAACCCAGGACCTTCTGGTTACAAGGCGAGCTCTTAGACCATTCAGCCATTGGGACCCGATCCAATAGCTCATGAATTCTAACTACAATTTCATGACACAATGCGACCATTTCGCAATGTCTTCTTCGATTAGTTATTGCCTCATCTTCAACCTGCTGTAACCTACTGGTTACGGCTTCCCACTAGAATCCCAGGTCACTGCCTGAATATATTTTCAATAATCTTAGTGAGTTTTGCTTTATCCCCATCTAGTGTTCAATGTTCAATAAACGTTTTATTTGTTTCATTTATTTATTTACTCATTTAATTAATATCTTTGTTTTTTCGTTTGGTTTTTTGAACTTTTCTAGTATCTCGTCGGTAAAAACTTGCGTCTAGACTTATTTTCTCGATTTGATGTTTTCTTTGGTGGTATACCTGTAAATGAATGGTCAACATTGTTAAATTTATTACGTCAGCATGCTGATTCATCGTTAGCAGTTAGCGAGATTAAAAGTGGTCAACAACCTTCATTCACTGGATGCATTGGATCATTTAATATCAGGGCTAATAATTTCACTGATAATTTACTAAAAATATACGATAATTTTTTGACTGCTTATCCACCAAGTGAATTAGTACGTGGTTATTGTTTAGGTAAGTTCAAATGACAAAGAAAAAAAAAACGAATATCAATAAAACTCCCTTTTCCTTCTATTTTATTTTAAATTATTTCTGTACTCAGTAGTAGTAGTTCTTATCTAAGTAGTGGATAAGAATACCCATCTCCAGATTATTATCCTCGACGAATTTGCATATAAAGCAAATAGTTTCAGTGAGAAGAACGTTAAGTTGAAGAGAAGTAAGATCCATAGATATCATTTTTTTCCCTGACACATTAACATCACTTGCTGAGTCAATGCACTCAAAAGAATCTGAAATACTACGACAATAGAGATTATTTATGATAGGTAGAAGGCTGTCTGTTAGCCATTTGGCAGTAGCATAATATGGTGCATTTGTCATGTCCAAGAGATGTGGTAGTGATGCTTTTGGGAGACAATGTAACTGGAGAATTACATAACCCGAGGTTCGTAATTGCTCAAATAATTCATAGTTAATAATCGATTCGTTCCTTATCTTCTTTAGTTTGCTTACTTTGGCGTTTCTGGTTAGTTATCTTTGAAAATTTGTTTTCGTCTGATACGATGGATAAGATTTTATGGCTAGAAACTTTATCGGGATGGGTCAGCACCAAGTCTTTATTACCCGAAATCTCACGTAATTGCTTTCATCTCCTCTTCATACGATCTCCTCAGTGTCACTCTCATACCCGCGTCCAGATATTCTCTTCACATTCGGGTTCCAGTCGAGTGTTTGTCACCAGCGTGATATCACTCAACGGCGCCTTCGAGTATTCAAATCCACTTCCTTCTGAATATTTCTTGGTCGATCGGTTCCTGAGTGGTTCGCTGACAGAGTTCATTAGATTTCCACACTGATTTCAATCTAATGAAGGTCCGTCTTGCTTTTCTAATCATGTCCTTAATATCCTCATCTGTGCTGCCTGTAGTTGAAACCATACTGCCTAGATAAGTTAAAGAGGTGACCGCCTTTAGATTTCTCCCGTAGATGGTGTCTGATGCTTGTTCTTGTAGCTGACCGCTTAGTATTTTAACCACCTCTGTCTTCTCTATGTTCGCATGAAGTCCTGCATTGGCGCCTGATTCTTCTTCCAGCTTGTTAGTTTTGCCTGTAACATTAGACATAAATCATTCGTGAATTCAATATCTTCCATTGCCTTCTTGTTGGTTCTTATACATACACTGTACCAGAAACATCCTATTCTTTAATATACACTTCTTTTTTTCTAATCTCTTAACTTAGCCCTCTTGCCATTGGTAGAGGGAATGAAACAAGCAGATTCAGGTCAGTCGTGAGTTCAATTGATTAAGAGGATACAGGCAAGGGAAAGTGAAAACGAAATGTCTGGAAGGTGTTTTTTACTCACACTATGTGAAATTTAAAGGAGAAAACTCATCATAGCTCGATATGACTTCAAGGATAAATAAATCTGTTTGTCATATAATTGTCGGCACCTCTTGACTGATTTTTTCTAACTGGTTGAATGTTTAGAATTTTCAATGAACTCCTTTCTTTACTTCAGAATCAGCTTCTGAGAGAACCCCTTGAGAAGTAGATCACTCCTCATCAGTTTTACTCTTTTGGTATAACATGCTTGGCCTGCTGGGGTTCTTTGAGTCAATCATATATGTATACATGGGGCTTCTACTCATCAACCTTCATTAAGTTTGATAAAACCTCCCTAGTTAATTTGCCCTCCAGTGTGCTAAGGAAATACACATCCAAATTAACCTGATTTCACCAGTCAGATTTGCAATATACACAATTCTACGTAAATTCTGACCACAGTGTCCTTTGGAAACTGGAATTATTCGGATTACAAAATGTGATCTGCTTGATACCGTAAATGGTTATCAAGAAACCAGGCATAACTGCATAAAACTACATATTACTGCTTGATTGACATGAGTAATTGTATACTGTTTACATCAACCAATAGTGCTTGCTACCCAGATCAGGTTCTATGATCAGAACTCAGTATATTCAGCTTACTTTCATTAGTATCGTGAAATTCCTCTCAAAGTATACTTGTATGAATGTATTGAGAGATTTTGACCTATCATCCATCTGATAAGATTGATGTCTTTAGTGTGTAGGGTAGAATAGTCTAAATTCTCGTCTCTTAACCGTTCACCGGTATGGCTGATTTTGGTCAACAACGAAAAATATACTGAAATATATCAGTGTATCCAGTAATAAACTTAGTCTTTTATTTCATACTTTTTTATTTTTATTATTGTTTTGAGTTCTGAGTGGAACGTGGGGCTCTAAGCTTGGGCTTTGGGGTTTCAGTAGCATTAGAGTTTATTTTTTACCCAAACTCTTTCTAAACGTTCTTTATCTACTGGGCTTATCACCGGCTAAGTGAGGCTTAGGAATGAGTTGGCCGAGGATTAAAACTCGAACCACGTGAGTAGTTGGCAAGTGTTCGATCACTGAACTACCGACGCCATTTCAGACTTATTTTCCAGCTATTTTATGATCCGGATGGATCGTGAAAAATAATGTTAAATGTGCTGACAATAAATTATATTAATTAGAATCTTTATAACAGACATCATTATCGAATTAGCTCAGTCGTTTACTTATTGGAATAGTAATAAGTTACGTCAAATTTTCATCAAAGCATCCTAGTCTACTTATCAGTAGTCCAAACATTATATTTCATTTATAATAATCAGTTAATTCCAAACAATAACTCTCCATGTAGAATGAAATTTTCAGCCTTCTACGTATAGCAACCATTTATCTCCGTGTACGAATCAGTAAATAAATAGAATAGTAAAAATCATAAAACCACAAAAACTGAAAGTTAGTAGAAGAAGAACATATGCGGTAATTAATAATAATGCTGGTAATAAGTTGCCGTTTGTGTACAGATTAGATTATAAAGCATGATTATATGCGCTTTTCACACAAAACCCCGTGCAAAATATGGTATGATTGAGTCCTTACTTTTTTGCCATATGAGCACTAATTCTTATGAAATTTCTTCTGGCTTTACCCGAAAAGATACAGTGGTGGCGATGCAAATAAAGAGGTGACTATGACCAACTTCTTGCAACCATTAAACTGTCTATCAATAATAATGTCACTTAGTTGGGTCAGAGATACACCACTAACCTTCACCATAGCCTTCAAAGTTTTACATAATATAACATAGTCATTTTGATAAGCTCAGGGAAGAATAAAGGGGAACAATATAGAAGAATATGCAGAATTAATAAATTGTATGAGAAGAGATTAAGTTATTCCGAAAAGTCTCCACTTCCTCACGTTATAAGTCACATGAAAGATTGTCTTAAAAATCAACAAGATATGAGACGACTAACAAAGATTGGAGGAGAAACTGATATTCGATTTTTTTACCTATCGCAAGAATCATAGAATTTAGTTAGTCCACGCAAGTTTTGTTTACGTCTGAAACTAAAATTAAGGGTCTCATATTTAGAGGGATTTAATTTAAGACCATTTGAATAAGACTAGTAGTTAACAGCAGATAAGAAACTATTCATATCAGAACAATCTCATGCAGAAATGACTGGGACAAAAGTTGTCAGATTACCAGCAAATGCAATGAAACCAGCTTTGGAATAAAATCGGGTAAGTCATGCAAAAAGAAAGAAAAGTGAAATGGAGAACATTTAAGCTATTTTCATTCCTTATCTTCCCATTGGTCTATCTGTTTTATTCTAGAATAAATGGAATAGTGGTTAGTGCATACTTATGAAATATTAATAGCAAGAATCTGTTTGAATTCGTATTGTTTTATTCTTTTTGCTTTCCCTTCTAGATTTACAACGCTGTACACCAAATTACTGTGATAATTATGGAACATGTAAACAAGTATCGGACAATGAAGTACAGTGTGTATGTACTGGCACCGGGTTTACTGGTCCAAGATGTCGTACACCAATTTGTAATTCAGGCTATTGCGCTAATAGAGGTCAGTGTTATATTGGACCTAATGATCAACCACAGTGTAATTGTACAAGAACAGGCTATTGGGGAGATCGATGTCAAATTCCAATTTGTCCACCTGATTACTGTGGTCGAGGAAGGTGTACAGTAGGACCAGATGATAAACCGATATGTGATTGTACAGGAACAGGATTCACTGGACAAAGATGTCATGATACTGTATGTACTCCAGGTTATTGTGAACATGGTGGTGTATGTACTGTTGATCTTATCACTCAGCAGCCTAAATGCAATTGTAGAGGTACAGGTTATGATGGTCCAAGATGTCAGAATCCAATATGTCCTATTAATTATTGTGAAAATCATGGAGAGTGTAGAGTTGATTCAAATGATCGTCCAGTATGTGATTGTTCAAAAACTAATTATGCTGGTCCCACATGTAGTATATCTTTATGCCCACCGAACTACTGTACAGGACATGGTGTATGTGTTGTTAGACAAAGGAATCCCACATGTGATTGTTATCCAGGTTATAGAGGATTAAGATGCGAAATAGAGATATGTCCACCGAATTATTGTTTAAATAATGGTACTTGTTATCCTGGACCAGACAATCGTCCACATTGTACATGTCTTGTTAATTATGAAGGGGAACAGTGTGAAAGAGCCAAGCGTTGTCCACCAGACTATTGTCTACGTGGTCGATGTGAAATGATTCATGGTATGCCAAGATGTGATTGTTTAGGCACAGATCATAAAGGTACACACTGTGAAATACCCGAGGTCTGTCCACCTGGTTATTGTCAAAATAATGGTGTTTGTTCAGTAAGAGGTGGAAATTATGTATGCGATTGTACAGGAACAGGACATCGTGGAAAAACATGCTCGGAGCCTATTTCATGTCCACCAAATTATTGTTATAATGGAGGCATTTGTTCAGTCCTACCAGGAAATGTCTACAAATGCGACTGTTCTATGACAGCACGAAGTGGACCTCAGTGTGACAGTAGTAAGTTATTGTGTTGACTATACTGTGGTTATATTTTTAGTGATTTTTTAAAACTGTGTGGAAATTTGTTTAGTGGAATATCTGATTTTCCCGTTGATTGATTGGACTAAAACGTTCATCTTCTGTTGGCATGTCGGATGCTAGTAAGGGTGCTTCGACAATGTCTAAGGATTACCAGTGATGTTATTTGGTAGGTGATGACTGGCAGTGGAATTCAGGATAATTGTTTTGTCCCACTTGGGACTCGTCATCTGGATGCACTTGCATTCCCCAATGACTGATATTCCGACTGAGACTAGAACCCATCACCCATGGTTTTAAACCCCGAAGTCTTACCCACTAGACTCTTCGGGGCGTGAGAGACACCTCCAGTGTGATGAGAATCAGTTATTATTTGTCAAAACAAATGCCCATTTCAAGTACATCTAGCTGATAAGTCTCAAAAGGTACGAAAAGTGCATCCTGGATTTCACCAGATTGTGCGGAAACTTATTGAACAACTATAATTAATCTATTTGTTATCTGTCAGTGTAAACAAAACAACGTGATTCATCATTTGATAAGAGGTAAAAGTTTCATTTATCCAGCCCAATTACCTACTAGTTTTCATTAATCAGACATATTTGAAATTCACTCACTACTGCTATGAGTTAAAAATTTCTGAGAAGCTACTCAGATTCACAGATAGATTTCCATCTTCTTACTGACTGACCGTTCCAAATATCCTGCATCAGTATTTAACCTTTTTGACTATTAAAAATGATTATCGGCCAATAAGGTGTTGTCAATACTAACAAAGGTTCAGTGGCAGAATGCTCGTCAACTATGCATGTCGGCTTGGTTCGATTCCTGGCCTGTATACTCCTATACCTCGGTTAGTCATTAGTAATTTCGATAAAAAGAAAAGGTTGGGATAAGAGAAGTTAGAAGCAGCATCGCGTAAAAAGTAAGTTCCACCTCTGCTGAAGTAGTAAACCTCAAGCTTGAGGGTCTATTTTCCACTCAGAAAGCGAAGGAATGAAAAGAATGAACTAGTTCGTGATAGGGTAAAACTTGGTCAGTCGATTTCCCATAAGAAAAACAACTCAATACTTATCAGTCGGTGGCATAGCGGTTAGGACGCTCGCCGACCATGCACATGGTCCGGGGTTCGATCCCCAACCACCAACGCACTCCTTTACCTCGCTTAGCCAGAAATAATGCTGGTGAAGAGGAAAGGTTGGGCATGAGGCTAGCAACCCCATCCTGTAAAAACAAACACCACTGCTACAGAAACTTCAAGCCACTAGCTTGAAGCCCTATGTTCCACTGGGGAATGTGAAGGAAAAAAAAACTTATCAGTCACTTGTTATCAAGTAATTAGATTCTAGATAAATTCTTCAGAATATAATTGATAAATCGTAGTTGATGATAACAGCCAGGTAGATAGAATGTTTAAGACAATACTCAGTGATGTTATTATGCAGCAGTAGAACTATTCCACGAATGGTAAGAAGTCAGAAACCGTCATTAGGGCATAGAAGTTTTTGGCGACTTCCTCTCCCTACTGTTGCGAATGAACAAATCCACCGTCCTCAACTGGTGAAATCCTGAAGTCATAAAATTTCTCCTCAATCCAGATGATTTTCACCAGCTTTGAATTACATTTTACTTTGCATTTGTTGAAAATTTTATTTATGTTATGACATTATGTTGCCGATTTGTTGGGTCGTCTATCTTGACTAGAAAGTACCTAGAAAGCGACCATAACCGACTCGTTGTGGTCTAAACGCAGAGAACTGATCCTTGAGTCCTACTGTGTAGTTGCCCGAAACTTCCTTGAGAGACGCACAGTCACAAAACTCTCCAAAGATGGCAAAAAGACGATTGCTTGTGATTGGAATCTATGTGTGGTTCTCAACACTGCCATTAGGCAGCTATAAAAGTAATGTAGATTTCTAAGCACAAAACAAATACTTAGCATCAAGTAGAATATTCCTAGCAAGGTGAGATTAAAAACTCTGTCCACAAGAACCGCACACCAATGCTTCCCACAGACAGTCCAAAGTCAGAATCACCTTGATTCACTTAAACAAAATTACATCGTACAACAAATCATCAATATAATCACAACTACAAAGAGAGGCATTAAAATTACGGATTAAACAAGCATAAAGACAAATGATGAGGATCAAATCACCGTGTGATATGCAAATGTCAAAATAATGAAATACAGTAGGGGAGAAAAATGGCTAACAATTACAAAGTTAGTTGAAACGTACAACAGGAGGGATTTTCCAAACAGTCTTTCCGTTGCAATAGCCAACTGACAACTCGAAAATATCCCCCTCCTACTGAGATAATTACAAAAGTCAATCAAACGCGACAAACGGAACAATTTTTATTGAACAAAATACGTGATCTATTATATTTGCAAAATCTTAGTAATTTAAGCCATATATAAATAAACTAATCTGTCCGGTTATATGACATCGCAGATCCTGAGAAAATTAAGTCATAAATATACGATTCAAAAACTTTCCAGTCAGGTTATCATGTCAGTGCATGCATAAATCATGACTTCACGGCTAACAGAAACGTTTATCTGTCCTGACAATTTACTTTTTATTTATTTTAACTATAGGTGCTCATGGTATACATATAGGTTATGAAAATGATGGTTATTTAATTTACAATTTAATTCCGTCTGTACGTACCACTGAGGACAATGTAACGTTTGGTTTTAAAACATACATGACTACTGGAACATTAGTCACTTTCATGACAACAAATGGAAAACATTGGGCTATTAAATTAGTAAGTTAATCTAATTAAAAACTGTTGTTGTATTTTTTCAGTATAATTAAAAATAGATATGTTAAAGTGTATTCATCACAGTTTCTCTGGTCTCGGATCCGTTGATCCTGGTAGCGCTCATCAACATGGTGTGTCTTTATAGTTGAAGGAATTTCCATTTATTCAGAAGAAGAAGAATTAGGGGAAACAATTATGGTTTCAATAAATTATTCTTCAGACTCTACAATTCAAAATCCATTAATTTTAGCATACACAACAGCAGTGGTAAAGGCAAATTAGATTTATATCAGAATATTTATTGTGGAACAAGTAAAAGATACGATGAAATAATAGTCAGTGTCAATTATAATTTAAAATATGCATGACGAATAAAAATGCATATATCGATATAGTCACCGAAAGGGTGAGTGTAGTTAGTGGTGCGAGAAACAGCATTATTACAACATGGAAATAAACTAGCAAATGTGACAAACTAGACGTAGGTTTAAGGGTGACAAATTTTAATTTTAATGTTAATTTTAAAAGCACCATTAATGAACGATTATCTATGGCCAGTGAAGTGGAATGAACAGGATTGTGTAAATGTAATAATAAGTTAGAGAAGCATTACGTAAACCTAGGTCAATAGAAATAATAACAAAGGTCATGAAGACGTAAGAAGTCTGAAATAAACGTTTGATATCAGTATAAAACTTGGGCACTGTGGTAGAGTATAATTCCACTATGCATAAGATTTTATTTTGATAAATCACACAGTGTTGTACAGTAACATTAACTGATGATGTTTCGAGCACAAATTATCGCTCTTATAAACGTTTGTGAATGAAAATGTCACCCTCAGATATATGCCCAGCTTGTCTTTCCCCGTTCGAGTTCCACTTAAGGGACTGGAGTGTGATATCACTTTCAACAATCTCCTCAGCGTGTGTTCAATCAATCTCCATTTTGTCCTGAATAATTGTTTGGCTATAGGTTCCTGCTTGGTTCGTTACCTGTCAAACTTCTTTCCTGGTCAGTCATCTGATCTTCAGTATGGAGTGAAGTGGGTGGCTACTGATAAAAGTCCGGAGCCTGTTCGAAATGCTCTTGGTGACAAGTCGAGCCTCTGAACTACAAAAAGCACTGACTAGCTTCCCATTATTAATAAAGATGTGAATCTTGTTCTTTACGCCTATATAGGGTAGAGCCTTTTTTAATTTTATTCCTTTGCGTTCCCAGTGGGACACAGGGGTTCAAGCTAGAGCTTTAAAGTTTCGGTCGCAGTGCTGTTCACTCTTACGGGATGTGGTTGCTAGCCAGCCTCGTACCCAACCTTCCCTCTTTACCAGTCTTATTACTGAATTGCGAGGTAAAGGAGTGTGTCGACCGGGGATCGAACCCCGAACCACCTGCGTGGCTGGAGAGCATTCTACCGCTGTGCCACCGACCCACAGGGTAGAGTATAACATTTATATGCAATTTAATCTGGCTGTAATCGCTGCATAAAATCATTATGGCACTGTTGATTTTACTTAATAATAATAATTCACTTTATATTATATTTATTATTTTTTGTTTTAATAGCGTGATGGACGTGTTGCTATCGATTTGGGGGGTAAAATTATGCACGAGTTTGGAGTACGATCTAATGATGGAAATTATCACATAGTTAATATAGAACGTAAGGGAAGAACAATGGTGATTAAACAAGATGGTGATGTCATTCGATTACCATTAACAGGTGAGAAATAGCCATCATTGTAACCGTGGTGATGATGGTCGTGATGTATATGATGATAACGTCACTTGGTTGAATTCGAAATGAGTCATTCCATTTCTGTGTTCATTTGTATTCAACTGAATGTGTAAATTGTTATAGCTATTGTGTTTTCCAAGACATCGATCTAAGCTAACGAATCAAATCTTAGTTTGATTTTTATGGCAAATATCCAGTCACGAATCTACATTAAATAGACCCAATGATCCAGGAGTCAGCATGTTGCAATTCATCCATCACCTATACCCTACAACTTTGGTTAATTTACAATACGACACAACTTCCTTAAAAGTTGAAATGTGCATGTGTGTGACAAAGCTAAGGGAATAATGAAGGAGAATCTCGAGCGTTTAGGTATAGTTTGAGCAGAACAATCGATAATTATTGTATAAACCAATTATCAAGTAATGTCGAATTTTCTGACAGTAAACACTGAGTCTTTTCAACGTCGCAGACATAACATATGTTTCTCTCACATGAGAATTGTAGTGTTTGTTTATTGTCAGATGATACTACAGTAGTGGTTTGAATCAATTCCTGATTTAAGGATGTGGAAGTAAAGCGGTTATGTTATTTTACTGAAAAATTCATTTGTGAAATAACATCATTCTTAGTGGACTGATTGCTGATTAACTTTCAGTATGGATACAAAAGATTCTTTCAGTATTCTCTAAATCACACCATGTTTGGCGCTGGTGAATTATCAAATTATGAATGTACTCACCTGTAGTTCAATGTGTTCTCCTTAAAGAATTTGAGACATATTTTTTATTTACTCTGGAACCACCGAAGGATTACAGGTTTTTGGCTATAGGCACCGTCATAGCATTTATCGCGTGTTATACAATTACAGAGTTAGTAATGTTGAGACTCTGAGTATCATAGAAAGTTGAGTCGCTAAAGTATTGAATTTCCATTGGTTGAAATGACCTGTGACATGCGTTAAATGGTCTGAACTACTGTCTTCTTAAATAAAAACATTGTTAGCCGTGGTAGGAGTGCGATCACACTCTAAATCATGATGGCACTAACCCTTGTCTGTTAGTCATAGTCACGTCATCTGGCTGCGCTCCTCGCGATGCTAAGAATAAATTATTGGTGAATCTTGGCGGTATGAAAAACTTACATATAGTGTAATTAAGAACACATAAGTCATCAAATAGAACTCTCCGTAAAATTTCATTTCAAAGCTGCACACTCATTTATGGGTTTATGCATGCGGTGCTATACAGACATGTTTCATAAACTTCAGTAAATATATATATATATCAATTCTTAATTTTCTACAAAACCTCTATAGGTTTAACCGATCCGTATGATAACAGCTTCACCTACAACGCTATTCATGTAGCTGCGGATGAAAAGAAGTCTGATATCTTCCGTGGAGTAATCGGAGGTAAGTGTTAGAACTGCTTAGCAATAAGTTGAGCCTGTTATTAAATTTTTACTTAACGAACGTTCCGTCATCAAGCTGGATGTAATCATCATTTTAATTTCCCACTCACTGAGTGATAATAATCGTTAATACGCACATATCAATCACAACTTCATGGTTAACTGTTTTTTTTGTGTGTGATTCATATTGTCTGAGGTATTAAGGTAATTCGTCTTCATACTGGTAATGGTAAACTGTTACTATGATGAACGTTAGAGTCGGAAACTCAATACTTCATTTTTACTTAGATCAAGAATACGCAAGTTTTAGAAGTGAAAAAAAACAGTTGTCCCATACGTTTAATCATAATTATAATTCATTATAAGCTAACATTTGAAACTTAACCTGATACTCACTAGTGGCTGGCTACAGGGTGGATTTGCCCGGAGTTGTGGTGAGAAGTCATCACCAGTGGGGTCTTCCAAGCTGGGTGTCAGGACAAATACTCACCAACAGAACTGACTGGCAGTGATGCAAAAAACTGTGAAATGGATTTGCCACTGGATTCCAGCCCAAGTGGTCGAATTGTCAGCGAACTTGCATCATAACCTGAAGGTCCTGAAGTAGGACCCTAGAGGGTGCGTACTGATGAAGAGTCCCAAACTAGGACTTAATAGCTATCCACTACTGCCTGATGGTTTCCAAGGGTTCTGTAACTGATACCATTTCGTGGTGTTAGACACTAGGAATCAGTTGATAAAGAGCTCTACCTAAGTGAACGTTTGATCAAGCATTCAGTGCAGTAAATAGGCTAATTGACACAGTACTGAATTCATGAGGTAGTTCTGTTTCAGTTGTCCAGTGCTTTGTAGATTATACTCAACTTCTCCTTTTAACGCCACTCACCTACAAAGGCAAAGGAGACCAAGAGGAAAAGAAGAAGGAGTTATACAGACAACTGAAAACAGTAATGAATTTATAAGGAGCTTAGTTAAGTTTCCTTTCAAAAATTTTCTGTATGTGTTTTTATGTCTCTATAAAAAATCATTTATTTCTTTTGTTTGCAAAGGTTTACACTGGAACGGACGATATCCTATCAATGATTTACATTCTGGTCGAGTTACAGCAACTGGCACAGTGACAGTTGTTCCAACGCCAAGCTTTCCTATACTTCCACCAAAACCTCAGCCTGAATGTTTACCAGGTTACTGTTTAAATGGTGGCAGATGTTATGCACAGAATTATCAAAGAAGGTGTGACTGCCTTTATACTGCATACAACGGTGCACGGTGTGAAAGACGTAAGTGTTATCTTTTATACTGTATGTGTGACCACCACTCATAGGAATGTAAGTCAGGTGCATAGGCTAGGATAGTCAAAAGTAATGTTAAGTGATTATTCTGACTTCAGGTACCAAAATGTTTCAAATTATTACTATTTTTAATTCATCTTCGATTTTCCCGTTGATTGATTGGACCAGAATCTTCGGTCTCTGTTGACATGTCGTCTCCTTGCGAGGACGCTTTGACGACGTCTGAGGATTACCGCGAAGTAATGTGGTGGATAGTGGATAGCAGTAGAATCCAGGGTGCTGACATGCGTTGCACGAGAGGCGGATCTGGTGGCTCAAGGGGTCGAATGAGTAGTGCTTTGGAGTTTGAAACGATGGGAACTGGGTTCCATCCTCAGTGTTTATTTCAATAATAGTCACCATCCATCAAATAACACCGATAGTAGTCCTCAAACATCATCGAAGCATTCATACTAGGAGCTGAAATGTCAACTGGAGCTGAACATTTTGGTTCAACCAATCAAGGGGAAAAGCGAAATTGACTCAAAAAAAAAACGAAATGTGTCCATCAGTAAAATAAGCATCTCAGCGCTGATTAAAATATCCAATGGTTCAGTATGAATAGCGTGTAAACGCATATGAGACATCTGAAATAATTATTTATCTTTATGAATTTCGAAAAACAATAAGTAGACTTAGTTTATCTGATTAGTGTAGTGTATGTACACAACACATTTTGAACAATCCTATCATACACCTACTCGTTACAAGAATTTATATGAAAATAATAAAGCGTTAAAGGGTGAGAGAACAGACATGTCAAGTTAAATGGCTATACTGAAGGCCTAATAGCCATGGAGATCAATAAATGAAAGTACATGTATTCTGGTATCAAAATAAAAACATTACCAAGGAAGGTTTAGTGTGATGACAGACTATTTTCGAATACATAAGGGTGCTTTAAACTTCCCAATCGCCAGGGCTCCCACAAATTTATGGATACGCCCCAAACACATTTCATAGACAGGTTCGAAAGACGCTCAAATATTGACTTAATGACCTGTCTGTATAACACGTTTCTCATTAGAAGGGCTAGGTCGTCTTTTTTCACAATTGATGGGTTCAAGGGATTTAATTTGCTTATGCAGCCATTTGTGCATATGTTTTGAGGCGCTTATTTGCGGAGATCATTGAATCCTTGCCATGTATGTGTGGTTGCAGGTACATTCAAACGGATAAATGCATTAGGATATATGTATGGGCTTCACATTCTCAGTTATCCGTACCGTAGCTGCATATGAAGAAATACGAAGTACGTAATGAACACATATTGAAGCAATGCTGTGATTCATGTAAAACAAACCGGACAGGCATTCAGTAAGAGTAACATCCGATCCTCCAAAATAACTAACTTGCTAAGAAGAGGTATACTTCTAAGACCACAATGTACTGTGTTGTCTTTTTATCACTCCTTTGCGTTCTAAGTGAAATGTCTGGCTTCAGGCTTGAAGCCTTGAAGTTTCTGCAGTCTTAGTGTTGTTGTATTTACAGGGTGGGGTTATGAGTCTCACACCTGACCTTCCCTCTTTTCCAGGTTTGCTATCGACTAGTAAACTAGGTGGGGTTTAGGTGTGCGTTTATCGGGAATTGAATTCAGAATCACATGCGTGGATGTTTAGCGTGCTGTGATCCACACTTATTGTGTGAAAATCAATGGCATCAACCATACTGAAATACGTTGATGGAACGGGGTTCGAATCGCTGGCCTAATCTATGAAAGTCATACACTCAATCCAAAAAATCATCCCACTGTGAATAGTATATCAATTAGTTGACATTATTGTCAGTTATATATTTTGCTGGTAAAACTTTTGTGACAGAAATAATAATAATATGCCAACAGAATTTCCTATAATTGCATACACGTATATTCAATATTTTAGAATCTCGAGGTTTTATGCCATATAGAGAAGATAATGGAGCATATGTGATTTATCACATACATCCGTTGAATAGAACTAATCGAGACCAGTTAAGAGTCGCTTTCCAAACCTGGCAACCGAATGGACCAATTGTTCGGGTTATACAAACAGATGGATCATACTATGAAATATACTTGGTAAGTGATACGAATAAATAATAATAATAATAATACCAATAACTAATGTTGTTGTTATAATAAGTAATAGTAATAAGTTTCAGAAAACAGTTATCCCTTTTATCAGTGTTAGTTTGTAGGGATTTGATTTGCTTGAAGTTTGATCACAAATTAATGTCATTTAGAGAACCACTAAGAGCCAGCAGGTGATAGTGGACAGCTGTTTATGTCTCTTCAGCAGTACGAGCCGTCCAGATTCAGAACCCAGGATCTCCAGGTTACAAGACAAGCTCTTAGACTATTCAGCCTTTGGAACCCTATCCAATGGCTCATGAAATTCAACTTCCGCCAATTCGCAATACATATATATAGTGAAACCACCAGTCAACGTTGTAGGCGTGTAACTCTTCTCTTGCTTAACCTTGTGGACCCTGCTGCTCACTACTTCTCACTAGGTAGCTTCTTGTATAGAGCCAGTCGCTAGTGAGCATCAGATTAATTAATAATTTTTGGCTTGCAGGGATTTGACTGGTTATAGATTGGGTCACGAGTTGACATCAGTTATAAAACCATCGGAAAACTACCAGGGAATACTAGACAGTTGACTCGTCCTATTTCAAGATACTATTACTTAAACATTTGATTTATTCTATAACTACCTATCAGTCGGTTGCCTTTAAAATTCAAACCAAAATATGGTTACTGAACATAAGTGATCAAAGTATGTCATAGAAACTCGAGTTTGAAATTAAATAAAGCTTTTCAAAATGAAAATTTTCAACAGTTAGTTTGTATGGATCAGATTTGCTTCAAGTTTGATCACAGACGGATATCAGTTAGAGAATCATTGAAAACCCTTAGGGACTACTGGACAGCTGCCTCCTCCCAATTTTGGTCTCCAAAGTCGCATGCATCCAAGACCTCACTAAGGGTGGAACATGATACCTTCATGTTACGAGGACAAGCTTGTTGGCAGAAATGGTAGAAGTTAGATTTCACAGATCATCGAATTCCGCCCAAATGGCTGAATGGTCAATCAGGTTGGTCTCGTAAACTGAAGGTACCCATTTCGATTCCTGTCGGGTGAGGATCATAGATGCGTAATACTGAAGAGTCCTAAAATAGTACAAAACAGCTATCCGGTCCCTCGTGTTGGTTTTCAGTGATTCTCTAATTGATATTCGTGATCAAACTTGAAAATGTAAAATGTCGGTAGGCTACCGTCAACTACTCATGAGTAGGCAAAAGTGTCTGAATAAAATGCCTGTTGGTTTGCTGCAGTTGTCTAAGAATTCGAAGTGTTTTTATGTATATAATTATTATTTTTTGTTCTAAAGGTAGAAAGTCAATAAACTCCAACAAGATATGTCCACATATATTGGTTTAATATTTATATTTAGTGAATGAAAGAGTGAATTATATTTTAGTAACATTGATGGTTAATTATTCTTAAGTGAAAATGTTTCTGTGTAAGTAAATGGAGTAACTGATCTACAGATGTTAACCCTAGTTGGGAAAAATATGATTCGGCTGTCAGCCTTCATAGACCATCAATCACTCTAGCACAAAGTATTTTTTATTATTACAAGAAACTGTTTATTTATTGTTCTCAGTTTCATGTAAGCATTCATGTTGTTTTACGGAGATTTTGAATAACACCGTTAAGAGGAGGTACTTATCAATGATTCGATGAAAATAAAAGTTTACAAACCAAATGTACTGAAGAATTTGGTGGTAAATAGTTTGCTTCAGACAGATGAAATTTGATCTTCATCATAATGTATACTACCTGGCTATGCACTGCATCAGATATTTACTCAGCCTAAAGGCAACATTGACCATATCACGATGTGCTTTGCAAGGGTTGGTTTTCAGGGTTTAGACTGACTTCAGGTTAGACCACGAACTGACATCAGTTAGGCAGTGATGGAGAAGTGTTTTGTCCTAGTTTGGAACTCCTCAGTAGTACCCACCAGGAATCAAGTCCAATACCTTCCATTTATGAGGCAGGCTAGTTTAACATTGAATCAATGGGAAGAAATCCAGTGACGAGTCCATGAATTCAATCTTTAGCCAATTTTCAGTGTACCGAGCGCCACCGCGATTCAGTGTCTTCGCTAAGTATTTGTCCTCACACCCAACTTTGTGGACATTGGTGGTAACTGCTTTGTTTTTCAGAAAGCGTTTATTGGAGTTTGCTAGTTTCACTGTTTTTCTTACCGTCAAGGTACATGTTTCCCCCTCCTCCCTTACTCCCATTAGCAGGCGTTTATGTGTATCCATACATACATATGTACACTCACTCAAACTGGTATGTAATGTGGAATAGGATGCTATCATTTTCTAATTGTAGTGGTTTACTTTAGAGCGTATACATCGTTTTTTCGACAGTGGTAATCCAGACTGAATATACGACTGCACAGTCCACTCATTACGTGTTTTGTATTTTGAGCATCGCTTTCATCGGTTTTGATCAAGGTAGTACTACACGAAGATTCATTTCGACGACTATTAGACCAATGAATCGTAACTTCAGTTTTGAGATCCCACGTGTATACAGTGATCAATAATATCACATGTTTTTTCGAAAAATAAGCCTCTCCTAATTCTTGCTGGTGGATTGTAACGACTGATTCTTTAAATAACCCACTTAATTCTGTGATACACTCCCGGTTCTTGTTGTAGAATCCTTATAAGCACAGAAGCAAAAGTCAGTAAATTTGGAGTTATTTATCTCTGACCAAGTCGCATTCTTAGTCTAAGACCAGTAAAAGTATGCTCATACACAACACAACGAGTAGTCGAGTTCAGAACAATTTAATCCAAATAAGCGCCTTTAAATTTTGCTTTTATTAGTTCCAAATATCAGACCCTCTAACTTCTAAGATTCTCAGTGATTTGGTGGTTAAAGGCGTCACCCTGTAACCTGAAAATCCTAGGTTTAATCCCTACTGTGGCTACTGGTTCATACAGAGGAAGAGTTGCGAACTAAGTCGAAAAACTCCTCCAATACTCCTTGATTTAACTAAGTTGGTATCTCGATAGTAGAATGCTTGCCAGCCACGCGGAAGCTGCTGGTTCGATTCCTGACCGAAAACACTTCTAAGCTTCACCTAATTTACTAGCCAGTAGTAGGCCTGGAAGACAGGAAATTTTGTGCTTGTGGCTAGCAAACTTACCCCGCAAAACCACTGCTACTGAAACTTCTAAGCTAGAAGCCCTATATTCCACTCGGAACTTGGATAAAGGAGAGAGTTTCTGCGAATTACTGTTGCTGTTGTTGTTCAGCTATATACTAGCGGGATAATGAAAAATATAAGTGGTTTTCTAAGGAATGTTTTATCAGACTTAATCAACCCAAGATTCTGGGTTTAGTCATGGAGGGAGTTGAGGCAGTGATTGTTAGAAGTTCTAAAATCGGTGCAAAACACCTCTCTAATGCTCTGTAGCGTTTAAATGGATCATTAGCTTACATCTACATCGATTGTTGTTTTATTTTCAGATATATCACTGAAGTTTTGAGACTTTCAGTCTGTTTAAAATTCTATGCTAAGAAATTTATTTATGTGATACATATGTATATATATGTAAGTTACAATTGTGGTTGAAATCCGCAAAAACATTAAAAGATACTTGAATGTTTGCGACATTTTCTACCTGTTTGTGTGTAGATGTGTGAGTGTGGGAAAATACAAAACAGGTGACGTAATTCCCAATTTAGCTGCATCGTTCATTGTTGTAAAACAAATAATTTTAGCATATTTTCACATGTAAAAAGAAATAATATAAATTTTATAAGCAAATAAGTTTTCATTGCAGATAGACACTAATTATACTCACAAAATATATCCATTTATTGGGGAGTGAAGACCATGCTGTCTACTACCATTTTTGATATTGTAATGGATCAACAAGAAGAATGCAGAAGACTTGAATTTTGCGGACATTTAACATCCACTGTCACATAAACTCTGCCATCTAAAGGTGAAAGATACAGCAAAGACAAGCTTTCAGGTGAACATGGGGAAATAATAGAGGTGATAAAGATACCGGATAACAAACATCAGTCACTATTAACTGGAAAGTCTAAGGGGAGTCACCTCTTTTACTTACCTTCAGGCCGACAGCACGGATGAAGATGTCAAAGTCAAGCAGAACTGGAAAGACAAAGCATACTTTCATCGATCTGAAATCAGTATGGTAATCGATTGCACTAAGTATAAAGAGCAAGATACTGATTTCCAACACAAATGTCAAGTCAATCACTGATTCTATATGGTTTAGTGACTTGAGTGTCGCCAATAATGTTTCCATCAGGCCTCTTCATACTTTCATCAACACCTGTCTTCTCTTCATACTCAAAATCAGATGGTGAATTGGGAAGGATAAGCAACAGGGAACTTGAGTAATGAACAAACTAACAACCTATCGCCTAGCAAATGCAGATGTATTGAACGTAATACACTGAGGAGACTGCTGAGTGACATCAAACTCCAGTCTGTCTAGAGGAAGTCAGATGGGAGACGACGTGTCAGGCACGGTTTCCAGGATGAAGTAGAAGAGATGATGTGAAGAGGGAGTGAAAGCCTATTGGCGGTCGTGGTGCTAGTTCAAATTGATGAGTAGATTGAATCATAATAATAATAACCCTAAGGAACTATTCCACTCAAATCACTACTTGTAATACTTAGACTATCTAAATACATCGGCAATCAAAGTACAACTGGAATAATCATGAAAACGTCATTTGAATTTGCATAAGCATATATATACATATCCTTCATTTTGCCTGATTATTTGACATTTTAATCATATGTTTTACACACTTCGATTACATACATCTTATAGATTGTAAACCAGCGAAATATACGGGAATTGTGTGCATGGTATTTTTACGTGCAAATAATTTCCGATATCATCATCAATGACATTATCAGTAGTAATAGCGAAGCGGGGGAAAATGATCTACTTTCAACTTTCTGCTCTACTTTTTTATACAACACTGTGGATACTTATGTTAAAAAGTAGTGTGTATGAAAAGAACACTGTCTTATTTATTGAAGATGTTGGAATACATACATCTGCTTGTAGATATTTATGTCTAGATGAATTAGTGTTAGTAGTACGAAGGATCTCTTCGTATATTTATTCCACAAAATGCTTCAGAAAGGATTGGTTAATATAAGAGAGAGCGAAAGGGAGAAAGAGGGATAGAAAGAAGAAAAAGCAAACGTAGATATATATAGACGGCTGAAACAGTAGTGATCTCCAAAAAATTGACGGTGATTGACAGATTTAGTCTATTTAGTGTAGAAGTTTCAAATGTTCAGCTAACTAGACATCTTCAGGCATCATTTTATTACTTGTCCTTCTAGTTCAGAAGATTTATAACATGCACATATATTACTGTTAGAGTTTTACGTCATCGGAAATCATCTATCAGCCTTGTAACCTGAAGGACCCATCCCTCTGGGTGTTTTGAATGCGTATTCGTGAAGACTTCCAGACAAGAATGAAACAGTTGTTCAGTACCCCCTGGGTTAAGGCGGTTCTTTGACTGAAGTAGGTTCAGTGGTAGAATTCCCAAAAACACACGTAAATAATTTATAATGATTTAATCATACTCGGCGCTCAAATTATTCCAGGAAATTCGTAATATCTACATTCAGGATGCTGGTGAATGATAGTCATACTACTCAGTAGTAGTATAATTTTAAAACTAAAATTGTAAGAATTTGTTATTCAAAGTACAATAACGAAGAGATTGCAGCTAGTCAAATAGACTTCATGAGCAATATTTATTAAACGTATTTCGATTGATCAAAAGCATGCCACTTAGCGTCACAATCAAAAGTTTAACATAGGATTTCGTTGTTAGTGACATTACTGAAAACCATGAAGCACTATACAGTTGCTTTGTCTTCGTCTCTCAGAAATTTACGAATTCACCTGTTGGACAAGGCGTTTGGTCAGTAATCTGAGGTTCACTTGTCAACCTCCTGTCCCACTTCATGTATCACTTGTTTTCATTATGCGAACATAAAACGAAAAAACTAGGAATGTTAATTCGATAAGGTTCTCAAAAGACAGACATAACTCCATAAAACATATACTACTTAAAAGAGGAATCAATCCACAAAGTTAAACGAAATGTTGACAGGAATTCCGTCTCCAGGGAGAGGCAGAGAATTCCAAACTAGGACAAAACAGTTCTCCAATGATTCTCTGACGGATGTCTGTCAGTTCGCGATGTAACTAGAAATCAATCCAATTGTTACAAGCCAACATTGATAATCGCAACACTCTTTTCTGAATGCTCCTCTCTGTGTACACTATCTACTTACACCTTTTTATATTTTTTTGTACAGCGTAATGAAAAACTCTATGCCAGTATCAATGGTGCCGAATTTCTCCTTAGCAGTCCATTGCAAATATTCCATGATGGTCGTATGCATTTGATTACAATGGATCGGGATAAATCTCAGTTCAATTTCACAATTAATGGTCATCAGACATCCTATAATGTACCAGGTTAGTATTTGTATTTCTGAGGTATTTTCTGCTACCAGCTGCCTTTATTCTTTTATCTCCCTCTCTCTTTCTCTCTGCCGCTGTCTCCCATTCTTCTTCTTCTTCTTTTTGTCCCATTTGTACAGATCATAAAATGGGAAATTTTTTCAATTAAATTAAATAAACGACAGTCGTTACATCTTTTTTCAAATCCATCTGTTGTATAGGATAAACAATTAAGTAACTAAGACAAATAACCAACAACTTTATGTTGTATGAGATTTGTCTCTTTAAAACCTACAAAGAAAAGAAAGACTGTTTATATTCTATTCTTTGTATAATTATTGATTCTAAATCTCAGTATTTTATCCTATATATATATATATTGCAGAGATTTACCGACTATGTTATAATAAGGCCGATACATACTGAAGACAGTTTTCAGTATTGTTATAAGTGAGCAGTATACATGCGATTGATTATTATTATTATTACTGTTATTTGCTCTGTGCTTTCCAAGCAAAACAGAGGGTTTCACTAGCCCACCTCCATTCCACTAGATTCTCCTATACCATTGCCCATAATCTTTCACTACCTCTTCATTCATCTGCTCCATGTCACTCTAGGACTCACACTCAAATTGTTATACCGCATTCGGGTTCCACTGGAGGGACTGGAGTGTGATGTCCCTTGAATGTCTTCTTAGCATATTACATCCAATCCATATTCATTTACTTCTGCATATTTGTTGAGTAAATAATAGGATATTCGCTGTTTCACTGTCTACCAGATTTCCATGATGGTTATTGTTTATAGTTGGCCATCTGATATTGAGCATAGATTGAAGCGAGAAGGTGTTAATAGAAGTCTGCAGCGGCTTGTTGGAAATTCGACTTTATGACGCGTGTGTGTGTGTGTGTCTCTGAAGCATACAGGACACTGACATGATGTTAGAGTTAAAAATTCGGAGACTATAAAAATTAAAATGGCGTTCATATGTAATGATGATTTATAGAAGTCTGATACTCTGTTCACTCATTGGTCAATAAATATGCTCATGCAGACTAGATCTGTCAACTAATGAAGAATGAGATATTCAGTTAGAGACGCTATATTAAATCAGAAAAATAGTCCCTTCGAGCATAAGGGAACATAATAATACAAGAATCTAGACGAGAATTAATTCCGATACGCTGTGTAAGCCACAGCTTCTTCAGCAGAAGCTGTGGCTTACACAGCGAAACGTTCAGAAAAATCTTGTTTTGATTTTCTTAACACGCTGGGATTAATTTGAATAATTTATAATGAATCAATCTGACTCGGAGCTCAAATTATTCCAGGAAGTTCGTAACACCTACGGCCTGGAAACCTATAAATATATATATATATATATATAGAGAGAGAGATTCAAGCAAAACGAAGCACTGGTCAACAGCAATTGGTGCTCTTAGCTCAGTAGTAGTATACAGGATGCCAGATTGATACTTCAAAAGTGCTACTAGCCCATGTATTCTATCATTTTATTTCAAATTCAGTCACTATCACATTACAAAAGTTGATTACTTACAATACTACCGTTATTTAAAGTTTGTTCAAAGATTTATATGAATCAGGGAAACATTGAAAACCAGCAGGGTATACTGGACACCTGTTTCATCCTCGTCTTGGACTCCCCAGTAGTACACATCCATGACGTCATAACCAGGGGTCGAATCCAGAACCTTCAGGTTACAAGGCAAGCTTACTGACCCATCATCATAGCCTGAAGGTCCTCAGTTTAATTCCTAGTGAGGTTTGAAGAGTCGAAAACTATGGTGAAAAAGCTCTCTAGGACTCCCTGTTGGTTTTCAACCCGTGATCAAACTTAAAAGCAATCAAACGCCTTCAAACTATTATTTCAGAATTACTATTGTTGTTTTATACCATAAATTATGACATTTTCGTTGTGTCATTCTAGTAGCGAACTAATTAATCAATTTTAATGAATTGGAACTACCTGAACCCTTAGTAATTTGGTGGACAGTGACTAGCAGTGGAAACCAGAATGTGCGTTTTGTCCTATTTGGGAATTGTCATCTGTATGTATCTGCATTCTTCAGAGAGTCATGGTGTTTCCACTGATACCTGGATCCAGTTCCTATGGTTTCAAACGCCAGGACCTTCATTAGATGAGATATGCTACTGTCGACGATGCAGAATACTAAGGAATTTGTCTTCTCTATCGGTGCTTACCTGTAGTGGCTCACCGCATTGGTAATTTATAGTCATAAGTGTAGGAAGTTCATTTTTAGCCGATAGGCTATTGGTCTAATCAGCTTTCTGATTCTACCACTTGTCTACTATTTGTTTAGCTAACAATCAGGAATAATATCACCTCCCACTTAGAAAATTAATTCAATTTTTCATTCATAATCTATTTACCTTATTATTTGTGTATCATTTTCTGATCGTGGAAAATGTTGCAAGAAAAAGGTTTCTCCGTAGTACATGAATTTACCATTATGATAGCACCACAGACTGAGCCATTTCAAAGTCAATAATAATAATTATTATTATTCTTATTTTCATATTAACCAATCATATGATTATAATGATGGTGCCATTAGATGAAATAAATTATCCACTTTATTATTGTAATACTCCCGACTGCTTGAAGTCCACATTTATCGTCTGTGCAATAATAATAATAATAACAATTTGATTGGCTTCATTTAAAATTACATAATTCCTATGATCAGGATTAGTAAACTTATTTATTAGGACAATTCAATACTCATTTGTTCAATTTGTTCTTGGTGTTTCAGTAATAAATGTAGTAGTAGAAGTAATAGTACATGATTGTTCCACTCATAACTTTAACAAGGTATGCATTCAAACACACAGGCACACACTTACACCGATAGACCTGCAAACATATATAGTACAAACACACATAAATCATTTTACTGTACGCACGGTACACCTACGCGTGCGCAAGTAGATTGTGAATGCGTATGTGTGTTTTCACATGAGATGCAGATAGGCTGTGTATATGTATGTGTGAAATGTGTGTGCTTCTCTCACTGTGTGTATGTGTGCATGCGCGTAGGTGTGTGCTAAATAAGATAGAAAAAGAAAACATTTGGGATTTGCTCTTTCTAGTAGTAAAAAGGTTAGTGAAATATGCAAAAGAGATTTTACACTGATTGGTGAAAAGAATTTTTAAAGAAGTGCACGAACACACATTTGTGAAAATTTCTCTCTATATAAGCATATTTACATAATAATACATATATCAATAATTATTAGTCGACCTTCACGTTATTCTGAGTTCTATACACTTTGTGCTCAGGAATAACAAGTTTATGCACTCAGAGATATACATCCAACCTTTGTGGAATGCTGTAAGACAATATCCCTGATTAACAGAAACAAAAAGGATATTTCATTTCGATATTTTCTTTATATAAAAGAATATCTAAAAATCTTGTCATAATCCCCAGTTATTACACACGGATATATATATACATACACGTATAAAATCTTCGATTTAATTATAGTGTAAGTCATTGAATAATATTGGTATGATTTAAAAAGTATTCTAACAATGTCCCAGTTGTATTAAAGCTGGTTTATATCAATGTGTAGTGTATACAATTCAGATGTAGACTTATTGTTTGAGGATGAAACGCTTGAAGCCTATGTTAACCCTTTTCTAATAAGTTTCTGTGATTGTCAAGAAACTTCTTGAACGAATCAAATGAGAGTGCTGACACCATTTCTTCTGGCAGTCGGTTCCAAGAGTTTATGACTCAGTAGAAGAATCAGTACTTCACAGCTACATAGTTCCCCCTTGAATTCCAAACTCTCCTGTTATGCTCTCTGAGATCTTCGAACCTGATGGGAAGGAATTTATTGATGTTTCATGTATGAATACTTTATATATATTATATATATATATATATGATGGTTGACAATATGTCGTCTTGATGAGGTCTCTTTAAGTGAAGTGGGTGATCCATTCCATTAGATTTGTTTGTCCGTTTTCTATTGATATTCTTATTAATATACGAGCTGTAAATTAGCCATTTGAAATCACTATGATTTATTCTTTTTGTTGAACTTAATAAGTTCAGATGACCATATCATTTTTTTTCATATTTGATGTGATAACTAAGCATTTGTGTAAAAGGATGGTGTTTCTTGGAAAAAAACCCGCATCGAAAAACCGATATACCTAGCTCTTGCTCCTGTAGAACTAAATATACAGGCATTCGACGCTGGTTTCATTCAAGAGGGTACAAAGAAATTACCCTATGTGATTATTAAAAGATGGAATTGGGGCTGTATGGTGGTGTTCATTCAGTGCTCGTGGCTGTGTGTTAACCAGTAAGATTATTATTATTCAAGGAATTTAAGTAAATTAACTGGATTTCTACAGTTATAATTGTCTGAGAGGATACATTTTGATGGAATTTATTCACTATGGCTTTCTCTTGCGCTTACTGTTGTCATCCGTTGATCATTTTTCTGAGAATTTTGATATCAGATGTTATGAATCAATCATTAGGAAACTGTGATCGATTTAGATAGGTTTAATGCTTAGCATTCCGAAGAAAATGTTTTTCTATGTCACTCTTAATCCATTGGATTGTCGGGAAATGATAGAATGGTCAACAGGCTAACTTTATGACGTCAGCAGCCCAAGTTCCATCCCTAGTAGGGTTGTTGGTAGTATGCACAGTCAATTAAGCACTGTATGGTTTTCAATAAGTCTTCGACCGATGTGTGACAACATCTATACTAGACCTAATCAAAGAAAAACTCCATTAAAAACCCCCAAAAAATATAAGAGATATCATTATTTGTCGATTTTCTTGTCAGACTTTTCTCGAAAGCTAATCAACACGGGTTTATTTTATTTTTGATGATATTTCCTTAGTTTCTCTAGGCCGTTAAAGTGAAAATAAGTTTTTAAGTTTAACAAAAAAATAACACGTATTTCTATATCAGCCGTTTAATTTCTAAAGAGCAACCCTGAA